CACACCATTCTAATCAAGGTTTATAATTTCACAGTTAAATATTGGCGCCGTTTGGCTGGACACGATGTCTTTGTCCAGTTTTATAATTTCATGGTTTAAATTTGTTAATTTTAACAAAAAGCACATTTTGCCACTAAAAATCTTCATATTACAGTTAATTAAGCCTAATTTGGTGGAAACACAAATACTTTTACGACTCCCCAAATAAACTGGTAACTAGTAAACAATTTTGCGAAAACAACTCCTTTGGAGGGGTCTTTACTTATAAAAGTTCGAAAGATCCAAAAACGATTAGAGTCCTCTAGCCAGTTGCCTGTTTAGTGTGTGTTTGTGTTGTGACACAAAGGGGTAAGTGTTAAAATCTCCAAAAATGTGCACGATTTCATAAAAAGTTCAAAGTTTTGTTTTTATTAATATTTTTAAAGTTCAATTTAATTTTGATGATAAATCGCCCTTTGTATTCTCGATTGGATAACGTTTTGAGAATTAGATCTATTTTTAAAGATTAATTTGCATTGAAATTATTAGTTAAACAGTTATATTGTTTGATGAACGCTGACCACGCAACTACTATAATGTTCCTTACTAAATTTTTGAGTTGTTACAAATGTTTGAGTTGTTACCAAATTTTGAGTTATGGTACCAATTTTAAGTTTTGTTATATTTTTGTTTTAGATTTTTTTTAAATATTTGTTTTATTATGCTTTCAAAGTTATAAAGTTTTCTTGAATTTATTTAAAAATGTTTTAATACTGAAGTTCATTTTCTGATAATTATATTTGCATATTAAACTACACTACAATTTCTTGTTATTCCAAATTATTCTCATATGACTAAATCTCTTTTGTACATACTCATTTCTAAATTAAATATAATTATTCATTTAAGCAAAATGCATATACTTGAAGTAGTCCCTTTGTCCAGTCACTAGAATGTGTTACCATCATCACGAACCAGCCTACGAACAAATAAATAATATTTTCACTATATGTCGGGCACAAGGTCCACGACAAGAATATATCCTAAATTAACAAAAGTTAATTTTGAAAATCTCCCAAGCCCGTCACAATATCATGATCTAAATGATTGGTCACTTAAAGAAAGCAAATTACTTTGAGAGTTTAGAATACCGCGAACTGGTTACCCCAACAAAACACATAATAAACAAACACAAAAATATCCAATCATCGTTGCGAGGAAAAAGCGTCTCGGTGATGTAATTTTTTTTATCGTTGCGAGGGAATACCTCGATGGTGTATATTTTTTAGCCTTGCGAGGAATAAGCCTCGTTGATGTTATCAATCTCTAGCGTTGCGAGGACATGCCTCGATGAAGTAATCAATCTGTAGCGTTGTGAGGACATGCCTCGATGAAGTAATCAATCTTTAGCGTTGCGAGGATAAGCCTCGATGATGTAGTCAATCTTTAACGTTGTGAGGACATGCCTCGATGAAGTAATCAATCTTTACCGTTGCAAGTTGCAAGGACATACCTCAGTGATGTGATCATGATAACGATGATAATAACGATGATAACCGCCTAAGGGAAGAAATTATTTTAACCCCCCGCCAGTTCGCAGTATGAATTTTGTTAATTTAACTGCTGTAAATACACTATTAGCAATCTTGTGTGAAGAATTAAGAAGTGTTACAATGTAACAACAAAGGTGTTTTCTTGACCAAGTGAATTTCATGAAATCTTCTAGCAAGTGGTTTATTTAAATAATCCTGATTGTTAAATTGTGTTAGCACTAGCTGGCGATTAAGAAAAACTAACTTAATTGGTGAATTTACAAACAATAAAACACATTTACAGCACGTGTTCCGCGTTGGACGAAAGTCCGCACTTTTTTTTCCGATTAAAAGGCCGCAAGAATTAGCCGCGCGATTTGGGGAAAACTGTCGTCATAGAAGTTACGATTGATTGTCGTTAAACAGAGGCTTCGTCCCTTTTATTAACTATCAAACCAACTAATTTAAACTATCTCTTACCACGTGTTTACATTCACAAAAACACATTCAGACTGACGCTCCGCCATGCCGCCGTCTGTCTAACCACCAACCCTCTAATTAAAATCCCTAGCGCTACTAATTGTCCAACTATCTAGCAATCGTTACCGTGCACCTGGTTGCCTATGTTTAACGATTTATGATTTATATTCTTTTTTTTTTCTTTCTCAAATTCAAATTATTCAGATGTGATTTCACACTGCTGTTAATTAATTTCAGCGCGAAAATTTTGATTTAAATTCGATCACCACAATGTTTTTTCAGTTTTTCCCCCAAGAATATTTAAATTATATATTATTAATTGTTTAATGTTTATAAACCGTTTTATTTAGTGTTCTGTTCTAGTTCTGTTCACAGTCTATTTTAAACATTTTATTAAACTGTATGTAAAATAAAGTTCGCTGGTTTTTTCACCACATAAAAAATATAGGAACCGCTATAAGTTAAAATAAAGATATGTATGCATTGATAAAGTAAATGTAAAAAAGGTGCTACGTATAAGTTTTAAGTGAATTTTTGCATTACAAAAGTTTATGACGATATCAACATTTTTTTTTAAATAACAGAATCTACTTTATTCTCAAACTTTAGAAAAAATGGAGTGAGCCGTTCTTGATTTAATCAATAAAATAAATTGCCTCATTTAGTTAAGAATATCCTGCTAACCAAAATTTATCTAATCATCTCCACCAACAATTAACTCAACTCTTTTTTTCGTAGTAACTCATATTTACACTTTACAACATAACATACTTCTATATTTGTGGTTTGTGAGTCCGCCTCGATTTTTATCATAATTACTACAAAAATTTGTGTGCGCATAGCTAATATTTGGGTTACGTGTATATATAAGCTATTCATCATTTTAAGGGTGAGCTAAAGCATATTCCAGCATAGGGAAATATATATAAACTTCTGCCCAAGTTTTTGCCAAAAGTATACGTCCGATTGTAATAAACTTCACACCGTTGAAATGAGCATTAAAAAACCCTACCCAGACTGCTTTTCCCTTTTTTAAATTTTGTTGTCAAAAAAAAACTACCACGCGTTAAAATTGTGATGAGTATGAGATTATCCGGTTTTCGCTATTTATGGATCAATTTTAAATTTTCAAAAAGGTACATTAGTAGAAATTGTATTAAAAAATCCATTGTGCTTTACAGAAATAAAATATCTTAACCAATAATTGAGTAAACAGAATATTTAAAATTTGTGGTCAAACAAACTTTAGCCATTTTTCTGGTTCACTCAAATCTATAACAGGTAACCGATAGAGCTCGTCCTTTTAAACCCCTCGTAATCCGACAAAAAAATTTTATGAGAGTGTCCACACTCTAAGGTTTTCTAAATTTAATTTGTAAGTCACAACGCCAAGTAAGAGGCAATTAAAGACATACTTTTTGTATTTATTTGTTTTATTTTATTTACTGATGTGAATATGTAACAAATGCGTTGGTAAAATATATCACCAGCTGCCTTTTTCATTCTAACACGTTTTTTCTGGACCTTTTGGGCCCATACAACAGATATTTAAAATTGTGTCTTCATCAAATTTTTCAAACTGCAAAAAGTAATTGTTAAAGTAATACATTACTTTTTAAAAGTAATGAGTAATTGTAATGAATTCCTTAAAAAAAAAAGTAATTTGCAATGGTAATGAATTACTATTGTTACTGAATAATGAGTAATTGTAATGCATTACTTTTTTACTCCAAAAAAATTTATTACGTTATCTATGTAAAATGTGTAAAATATTATGTGTACTTGTGATTTATCGTTGCATTCGTATTTTTTATACAGGTGACACACAAATATTAATAAATGAGGCAATTGATTTTATTGATCAAATCAATTGCCTTTATTGATCAAATCAATAGTACCTGACCCCATTCTTCAGAAAATTTGGGAATACAGTACTGTTATTACAGGTACACTGTGTCTGTCCAAATTTATATACCTACGTGTCTGCTAAAATGTTGATCACGTCATCAAAAATAGAAAAACTCATTTGAAACACACGCATAGCTTGCTCCTTTACTTTTAATTTAACACTACACACCTACCTTTATTATGAAAATTTTCATAAAAAAATTAAATTCGCAAAACCAAATTTTATAATTTTTCGAAAAAGCTGGATATTTTGTGTTGTATTTCAGAAGCAAGGGAAGTTCTGTCTAAATAATCTTAGACCAACTAACTGGAAATATGTGTGGAATTTCTTGGAAACACTCCTGTTTGTCACTTTTATATTTAGCGTCGGGAATTTCAACCGGCGCCTTTCTCTCCCAACAGTGAATCAAGTTTAGACATGCTGTCATATATTTTCACCAGTGAGACATGACACAATGAGTCATAAAATCACAATAATTATTCAATCATTTATTCTGTATCTTTTAAAGTTAAAGTAACAAAAAATATTAAAAAGTGATATTTTAGCTGCTTTTGTATTTGGACATCTTCAATAAGGACAACTTGGAAACTTTATAAGATCAATGAATTCTTAGAGTTTACGTGTGTTTAGTTTCACATAGTTTCATGGTCGGTCCGACTCATTAAATATGTCGCGATTTCTGTCACACACAGTGAACATTTATGTACTAAATAATTAAAATTGCTCACATTTTTGTTAAGTTACAACCTCTCCTAATTAATAAAGTAAAATGTATACAATTTAGGGGACAATTAACTTTTGCGTCCACTCCAAGCGGTTTTTTATACGAACGTCACTTTGCAAACGTTGCCAAACTTAAATGTCCAGAAGGTCTTCCCCTGCCAAATTTCACAAGTCTAAGTTATCGTTTGGGAGATAAATTTAAACTCGGCATCCAGTATTCAAATCATCCCCGCTCTCCCCCCGTTTCTGGGATCCATGTTTGGCGTTTAAAGATAAGTTCCGTCAGTTCATGTTAATACAATTCGAGTTACAGAGTTAATCGCAAAACTGGTCATCTTACCTTGGATAAAATTGACTTCAACTTCAATTCAATAAAAAAAAGTTATCAAAAATATATTTTTATGAAACTAGATACAATGATGTTAAAAAGGTGATAATAAAAATAGGCCGCAATATCAAAATTGGAGTTTCTAATTTCTGTACAAACTTAAAAATGGTTTATCTGGTGCCTGAAGCCAGTTGTCCTCGGAATATTTGGTGTTTTTTTGTTCAACAACATGAAAGGTGTATGCGTGTCGAGATTTGTTCGATTTATTTGGGTGACTGTAATGTACCACTTGACCATGGATTAAAATGCAAGTACCTAAAACAGTTAATAGAAAATAAATAAAATGCGCTATTAAATAAATGCCGTAATAATAACCTTTTTTGACTGGTACCGGCGTGAAGCCACTTTTTTGATAGTAGGGAAGTGGTGATGTATAAATTAACAAATCGCTAGAATTTTTGTCAGGATTTCGTACATATCGTCTATGTACACCACTCTTATGTGACCCTTTTGAAAACCAAAGACATCCATTTTCCTGGGTAGCATCTTCTAAAGCTACCCAAAATCCTACGACTTTGACGGGTTCAGTATGTAAATATGTTGCGTCCTGATGGGCAATAACTGAAAAATTTAAGAATAATAAAAATACTATGCAGATATACATATATAGGTTTAAACATGTCGTATTTGAAAATAAGTCGTCTTAGCTCGTATTTCAAAGTGTAAGTAAGTCATTGTTGCAAACCAAAGAACATTAAGTAACTATTGCAGATTTCAGTACTTATATGCGTTTTGTCTCTTGATGTACTACTAATCTATAATTAGAATTTTTAGAAATAAATTAAATATGATTCACATCTCTGGCAGCAATGCAAAAGCTTTTCGCAGTAATGTTGGCCAATTTCACACGTAGTCATTGTTTGCCTTTAAAATAGAAATTTGTATATATTTTGAAGTCTTAATCGTATTTATGTATAATTTGTATAAAACACGTATAGTTTGTAGTAGACGCAGTACCTAGTACATTTTAAAATTTAAGTTCAGAAAATAAACATACTTAGCTGTATCGTAAAACATTTGTTCATGAGTTAACTAAGAACGACGACGAAGCGATATTTAATGAATAAAAACTGGGACCAAAAACGAAAAAGAGAAAACATATCTACCTTCACTTCCAAGACCAGGATTTTTAAAAATGTACATGCTCTGAACTAGAACCGGATCTTCATACCCTAATTGAAAACAACATTCTTTAACTTTTTCGTTGAAAGTTACTTCCCTGAAGACCGGGTTAAGTTCGTGAAGTGCATGACCTATTTTATTCAAAGATAGACTTGGGTCAACTTTCAGTTCCCCGTTTGGTCCTAAAGCGTCTGCTTCATAGAAGTAGCTTATTTTATCAGCACTATCTAAAAAATACTTGTCTTTGTCCTGAAAATAATAAAATAAAATAAACAACTGAAGTGAGTGCATCAAAAAAAATTTACCTGTTGGGAATTTGAGTCAGCAGAACTGAAGACCGTTCGGTTAGATTCTTCCGGCATATTTTTGATTAAATTATCACATTCTGCCCTTAATGCATCTGCTTCGGCTTCGGACAAAAAATCTTCAAGAACTACGTAACCATCGGTTTCGAACTAAAAATATCATTCCAGTATAAAGTAAAATCTCCATTCAATTAAATTTAATAATATAACATAATAACCTAGTAGTTCATTTTCTTTGCATTTTTTTTATTGTTGTTAAAAATGTGGTTATAATTTTGTAAAGCAGTATTCGCTAACAAAATGTTTACCGTTAGAAAGAATGTTATATCAGACTTATAGGTTTACGAAACGATAACTAAGTCATCGGTTGTTTATATATAGATGAGTGATAATTATGAAGGCTGTCTTCATGTAACAATTAGCATTTTAAAGATCACGTCGTCTTTAATCGTGACATTATTATTCAGAAAGGTATCGAACAATGCGAATAAGAATCAGTGTCGAAGACTTTAAAAATACATAGCGTTGAAGAATTTTATTTACCTGCCACCTCCCACGTGGTGACAGGTTCATGCTATTTTCAGAATCAATTACAATATCGCTCAACCGCTTTCAAAAAGTCATATGAATTACATAAACTGTCGATAATTTGAAAATTTATTTTCTTACATTGTTAAGCGCGAGGACGTTCCTTTAACAATAATAATTTGATGTCATGGTTAGTAAAAAATGTTTTTACCTGCTGTTTTATGTTCCACATTGTTGGAAAACGATTTCACTAATGTTTAAGTCACAAATAAAAAATTGGTAATATCAACTGAACTTAATCGCTAATCTAGTGCAAGAAACTCGTTACGGTTTCTGAATAATTAAATCGTGTTGGTCTCGGTTTGAAACTATGACCCGCTAAGCAGACTACTAATAAGCGCATGCGCTTTTTATTTGAGTGGGTTTAATACATCTATGGTAAACATGATTCACGCTTTATTTTATCGGGGATTTTATTTTATGCAATAATTTTGAAAAATTATGTGACATTTATTGTTAAGTTAGGAAATTATGCACATATTTTAAATTAGTTTACGACTTATAGACGTGAGATTCTGATATTAATTCAGGTGTAAAGAACATATGTCCATTGTGATGCAAATTACTTTTCCTCCATTATCAAAAGTGCCGACTTTTAATGCATATCTTCATCATGACAATCTTTTCTTGAAATTTCTTCTTTTTGGCAAGCCGATGGTACTTTGTTATTTAACTATGTATTTGTTATTCAGTTAACAAACCATACGGTCGAATTATGTTAATTGTTTTAGTGACAACAAACGATATTTTATGGAATAAAAATTTTAAAAGCATTACGTATGATAAAACCGTAAAATTTTACTTATAAGACGTACCTATCTAGTTAATAATGAACAAAAAAATTTGGTGAATGATAGTCCCATACATAGGAGTCGCAAAATAAAGTAAAATATAATTATAAGTATCTAAAGTTCAACAAATTAAGGTTGGGTATTAAGCACTAACAAAGTGGCCTAGAAGAATCATGATTTTGTGTGCAAAATTTTGCACTTGGTTTCAAAATTAGAACTGTTGCAGTTTTTTATTTCCCGAGTGTATAAGCTTTCACGAATGGTTAATTTCATCTTTTCCTAGCGTCTAGAACATGAAAAAAGCAGTTCTCCCATTTCTATCTGTCTATAGTATGTTAACGACTTTATTACAAAGATAATTTACGGAATTATTAAAATATGATTGTTGTTAATTTTAGATATGTTTTAGAATATCGCATGTTGTCTTTGCCATTTGTATTGAAACACCACCTGCTGATTTTAATTAAAATTTAAATTGGTAACAGCTTTCGGTTGATTGAGAACGGCTTTTAGTTAAAAAATTGTCTGAATATGACCATTGTCAAATTTACTATTAACAAGTGGAATTTCAATAGAAATGACAGACTTTGGTTAGTAAAAACTAACTAAAATTTTTTACACAACAATGAAGAGTATTCGACGCCACTGTCCCCCTCAACGAGTGTAATTAGTGTAAGACTAGTTAATTAGCGATTTTCGAATCTGAAATGTTGTGAAACTGGCGAATTTGACAAAAGTGTTATTTTGTTTTATTAAAGTTAAAAAAGTTAAAGTTTTGGACGTTTTTACTTATATTATTACATTAGTTCCAATTCATAATTTCTCACTCTTGATTTATAATACCTAATTCATTTATGGCGTTTATACTAATTTTGAAAGAAAGGACCTTGAAAATTATCTGTTGAATTAAAATCATCGTGGATTCTAAAATAAGAGAACTTTAATATATTCTTAGGTGTAATAATTTCTTATAGCCTCAATTTGCACATTTATTCTCAAATTATTATTATTATTTGATTTTGATCGTACTGAATATGTGCCTATTATGTTTATTTCATCCCAGAGCGCAGCAGAATTACGCATAGGGGGTGTTGTAGCACGAGTGGAGTTTGGGGCTCCTGGTTGTGGCTGTTCTTCCACCACGACGGTGATTCTGCTCTATCGGCAAGCATGCCGCCCAGCACCTCTCTATCACGAAGAAACGTACCGCGCGAGCAGGCTGTTACGGTCGTAAACTCGTGGTTGAAAATCCCGGCTATTGGGACAAGCCGCGAGCGTCACGTCATCCCGACCTCTCCCCTGACTTCTATTCACGATCCGCGTCTTTTGTGCAGATGGCGCGATAAATCCCGCCAGCTCGACTAGGAACCGCGCCCTCCGTTTCTGCCACGTGTTTCTCTGTTATTTACCTCAATTCCGTTTTAAATGTTCATTTTCTACAATCTTATATTAAATTACAACCGAACTGGTGTTAAAGTTTCAAAAAGAGCAGTAAACAACATTTAAATTCGCCATACACTCTCGTGAAATTTTAAACAGCAAAGAATTCTTATCTGAGATTACGATTGGTCAATGTATATGATGGAAACATTAATCAATAAAATATTTACGTGGTCAAAAAAACTATCAAAGATTTCTAAAAACAAAAAAGGTCTGGTGTAAAGTAAAACTTGTGCAGACAAAAAATTACGTGAGGTTCAAAACTGCAGAGCATGGAAATTTACGTTCAATTTAAATTATATAGCAAAGAAAATTACGGAGGCTAAAATTGTGAGATAAGAGAAATTGCGTGAGGTGAAAAATTGCAAAGCTAACAAAATTATATGAGGTTAATATTTGCCACACTTTAGCAACCATTCAAACAAATAATTTACATGATGTTAAATTATGCCACACTTTATCAACGGTCAATCAAAGACTTTACATATGTTAAATTAAGCCACACTTTATCAACGGTTCAAACAAAGAATTTACATGATGTTAAATTATGCCTTGATCCAAGTGACTGGTTACTTAAAACATTTAGCTTTGAGAGTTTATATCGTGAACTGTCTCTGATAAATAAACACAAAATGGATCCCTCGACGCAAGAAAAGCTTCTCGGTGATGTAATTCCCCACGTTGCGAGAAAAATGTCTCGGCGATGTGATGATGATAACTGCTTAAAGGGAAAAATTTAATACCCTCGTCTCTCGGTCCACGATATTATGATTTCTAACGCACTTTCCACGGTCCTTTTCCCAGAGTGGGAAAACGTTAGGTTGATTTAACTGCCGTAATGAACTATTAATAATCTTGTATGTGGAATTAAGAAGTGTTATAATGTAACATTTAAGTATAAGAATCCAGAAACCTTATTTATAACTTAATAAACAAAGAATGAGTCCTGACTAAGTTAATTTCATGAAATCTCCTAGCAAGTGCTTTGTCTGAACAATCTGATGACTGTTAAATTGTGTTGAACCAGTAACGATTAAAATCCTAACATGAACTGTGAATTTATAAACAACGTGTTAGCGTCGGTCGAAAATTCGCATATAATCTGCTTCGAAAAACAGCAATAATTAGCTACGCTTGTTGAGGAAAGTATGGCGTCGTCGTCGTTACGATTAATTTTCGTTAAACAAAGGCCTTCCCCTTTTTATTAACTACCAAACCAACTAAACTTAATCTAGCTTCTTCACCCAGTGCCTTCAAGACTCAGACCAAACAAAAACAATAGTGACGCGTCACCCCTCTACAAAGCAAGCACTCTTCATTACCAACCCTCTCACTAGATACTCCCCACAAATTTCCCTAGAAGAGCTACCAACTACCAAAAAGAACTAAACTTGCACATGGTTGCTTATGTTTAACGATTTTTTTTATTTAATTTTTTGCAAATTCAAATTATTTAAATGCGATTTCGCGCCGTTGTTTTTTTTCAGCGCGAAATTTTGATTTAAATTTGGTCACCACAACACTTTGGTTATATAGCTGGTTGTTTCGCGCAGATAGGGTATAAAGCGTATAATATGCGGCAGGTTTTTTGAACATAAAAATGTCAAGTGCGTGTTATACCTGTGAACAGAATCGAGAAAGAGTGACAAGTAAGAAATTAAGTTTCATTCTCGTTACAACCAAGTTTGCCATTTCTTCGACGTCATCATTGAATTAAGATTTTTTGAGTCGTCTGTTTAAATTTTTCAATTCAATTATTTGCATCTAGTTGCGAGCATGTTAAACAAATACCGCTAAAAATAAGCTGGACCTGTTTAGGAAAATCGTGCTAGCCAAATACGAGTATAACAAAGAGCCGGTATTTAAGTTCGGTATGGTGTTATACATTTGATCAGGCCGCATTATTCGTTGGCAAGGGTAGTGAAAGAATTCAAGGCCAACTCAGGGTTATAAACGCTTGGCTGCTCCAATACATTCCTACATGTTTGATTCATAGAATCTTTGCTCCTTTCAGGCAAGCAATCGGGGAGGAGATCAAGGCTGTAAATTATCAATAGGTGCAATAAATCCTAAGCGGTTTATTCAGGGCTTGCAATAAAGACTTTTGGAAGCAGAAAGTCAATTTCACTAATTGTTGGTCTCTACTTTACTAAAGTTGCGTCTGTCGAAGCAACAACCTTCCTCTAAACATACTTAAAGGTTAAGTAACCTCGCACTTTTGTCGATATCTGTAAAATTACAAGAAAGTTATGACGTTTTTATAACCCCTTGACCCTTACTAAGTTGACGCTGACATTTAAATTTATCAAGTCATAAGAATGCGTCAATTATGCCAATAGAAAAAAATTAGTACAACACCAGATGTTCAGATATAAAAAAAAGTGCGCACAAAAATGAACTGATCGAAAATAATCAATTATATTATCTGTTATTTTAACGAATCCTTTCTAATGACACGCAGAAGCTATTTGTGTAGTAAGAGCTCCTTAAAATAAAAGAAAAACAGTGCATTTTTAACATATAAATTTCGAAATCTTTCTTTACCCTTATTATTACCAAATATCGTGGTCGTAATTACATTAATCATTGATAAACTGTACAATACTATTTAGAAAATCGTCGACTGAACTGTTAACAGTACCTAAGTTTCCAAATCTCATATCAAAGAGTTAAGTGTAGAAAAAAAGCTTCGAAAATTGATAAATAGGTAAGTATTTAAATATAATGAAAATACAGTCGTCAACGAAGACATAAATTCAAACGTAATTGGTAGATGCTTAAAAAATAACGTTGTGTTAGTGGTTTTTTTAGTCGTTTTGGTCGTTCCAGCAACCTTAACCACTCATTAAAATGTGGCAGGTAATGGATTTATTGCGTAAATGACTATAAATACACCACTGAGCATACATGTAGGTACCTACATATCTTTCATTATCTATCTAAATAATGAACACCGTTTTAAACTAAAACATTGTAGTGTTATCTAAATGAAGAGCTTAAGCTGATAAATTTTTCCACCGCTGTCGTGAGTGCGAACGAAATTTCCAGTGGGTGAATATTGTTAAAAATATCGCTGATTTCCCCATCCGCAGACGTGCGTGAACGCACACTCATTTTTGGTGCAGTCCGTAGGAGCAGTTCTTCTCAGCCGCCACTTACTTGTTACTCATTGACTTATTATAGTTGATTGTGATTTTAGTGCAACTTCTGGACGTCTTCCAAGGAATGACTCGATCGGAATAAATATAAAAATTTCGAACAACGCACATAACTAGGTATTATGGTCAACATGTTAAAGTTCTAGAAAAGTGCAGGTATTACAAAACAAACACGCTGATAACGTAACCATTTAATTTACACAAAAAAGTACAAACATAACAGAAACAAAACCTTGACTAATTAAACTTAATAAAACAGTAAGTTTGACATAGATACAGGTAAGTAAGTGGTAGTAAATTTGAAAAAATGGTAAGTAAAATAAACAACAATTTTAAAGATATTGGAAACAGAAAAGGGGTTACAAAGTCATAACAAGTAAGTATAATTACAATTAAAAATAAACTTATCTATAAAGGAACAATGGAATAAATTAAATACTGCTTAAGGCTAATTTTTTTATTATGCCCAATAAATACTTCGTTCAAGCTTTTATCACAATTGTCTATATTTAAATTATATGTCAAGGCTTTTGCCTTTTATCTCTTTGAGCGTACATTGTATGTATGAAAAATATGTTTTCATTTTTCGTTATTTTCGTCATAAAAATGTAACAATGGAGTAACCTTGACATTCATCAAGGTCAGATAAAGGAGAATCTAGGCAGTCTATGCTTACATTTAAAATGATAACAAGATTAAAATATAGGCCTTATGACAAGTTAAGTTTATATGTTCCCTGAGCCTTCCATACTTAAATACATACCTACTACATAACAGAAATGAAAGTGTTTTCAATTTAAATAGGCGCTAATCTCTCACTTTTTGTACGATTGCAGCCTACTTCAATTGAAAATTTATTCGATTTTCGTCATATTTCGAGACCAGTTTGTATTAGAATGTGATCATTATAAAACATCAGTGCATTAAGTAAGTACACACATAATCTGGCTCAAACATATTTTGTTTTTATACTTTATATTGTAATGTTTTATAACGGTCTGTATAAATTATCATATTAGAGCCTTTACAGCAAACATTTTTCTGTACGAATAAATTAATTTCAACAACGACCCATAAAACGGCATAACTTACCAATGTTATTAACAATAACGCAGTATTATTTCGAATTGTGACTGTTCACGTTCACCTTTATAAGGAGTTGTTTTGTTGATTGTTCAGTATACTATTAATAGTAGTAAACTCCATGAGAAGTTTGATGGTGATGACTGATAATAAACCGTTATTCAACTAATGTCAGTTCCTGCTGATCGTCATACAGTGTGTTTAGGGCTTCTGCAGGCGATGTGTAATGAGCCTCATGATCTAATAAGATAACGAAAAGAAAAATAATTTACACATTTATTTATACAATTATCATTTGTATGTCAACAATAAAAAATACAAAAAATCACTACATCGTTAATACCTTCCACTTGGACTTAAGTACTGCTACTTATCTATTTATTTTAGTTAGAAGTTGTTTTTTGTTTAAACCCACCTGAACCTTTATTACCTGTTCGTCTAATTAAATATTGAACACCGGCATGCAATAAACACACTATAAGGGCTCCGATACCGAACAATCTGAACGTCCAAGGTCCTCCGTATTGTGCATATAAAACTCCAGCTGTAAGACTTCCCAGAGACACACCTACACCTTCGAAGACGGCGCCGACCAGACCCTTACAAATAAAAAACCCATTTTATGTTTGTAACATATGTATAAACTCGTAAAAACTGGCTTCACGTTTTTACGACTTCAGTAGTATTTAGTTTCCAACTTTGCAATCGTTATAAAAGAAACAATTATATATCAATGTCAAAAACTGCATTAACAAAAATCTTAGATTTGCTATCGAGACTTTTTACTATTTATCAAAATTAATCGGGCAACATTTGTAAAATTTTGAAACAAAAAACAAAATTTTAGTTTAACTATACTGAAAAATTTAAAGGCAAAACTAATATCATTATTAGCGTTATCATTATTATTTGTTTGATGTGATTTTTTTTGCTGATAGTCACGTATGCCGAGTGTGATAAATTTTTAATTGCCGTTAATCGTTACATTACAAAGAAACATTCAAGTACATAATTAAATCATTACACATCTACTTGATGTCTCATTGTTAAAATATAAAGTTCCCAGAGTATGAAAGTACGTACTCGATATGATAACATACCTGCATTGTTGCCTCCGTCCCTGGCGGTGCCACAATACTAGCATATGAGGCCATACAAGCATAAAACAATCCAAAAGTCAAACCGTTCAACAACTCAATGGGAAGAAACCACCACGGATCGGGAATAACAGAATACAAAATGTACCTTATCCCGATCACTAAAAGTACGAGTGACATCGCATTTATGTGCCCAATTCTCTTCAAAATCCTTCCAGACCAAAAGAAAAATGGCAGTTCACCCGCCAATGTCTCTATGGCCATTACAATCCCTTCAAGCGTTTTGATCCACGTTTGCGAATCGCATCCTTGATTCTTGGCTAAATCTTCTATTAAAAAGAATAAAAAGTTCCAGATCAAACCGGTACACATCCCCACCGCAATGCACCAAATTAAGAAGACGATAATTCGGAAGTCTACTAACAGTCGACCAATGTCTTTGAGAATACTGGTTGATTGCGTTTTTTGTACGTTCTAAAATGGGAGAGATTGTTAGCGGTTTGATGATTTGGACTTGTATGGGTTATGCTTACTTTGATTTTGGATGATACGGTGAAATCTAGAAGTAAGAATGCGAAAGATAAATAAAACGCCGCTTCGAAATTTTTTGTGGAGGAGCCTTCGCTTAGGGAGTCTACCATCACACCTGATATAACGGAAAATATTCCCCATCCTAGTGCTCCAAACATTCGTTGGTATCCGTACCTGTTTGGTTTGTCACCTACAATCAGGACAGTAGTAAATATGAATATATCATACTTTAACCGCCACTATCTATGATTCGCAAGCATTATGTTACGAAAACACACTCTGTTAACTTGTTTATACATTTGGTCTGCAGTGCATTTCTCATCCACCCATAATAGGAAGCGCATCAACAATTACTTAAAAACTATGAACACATTGATAAAGCGCACCGCTATGCCTGCGTTTCTAGTGAGTGTTCCCACTGAAAATGTTTTAATCAACATTTCAACAAGGACACATATATCAATTTTGACACGTGCAGTGTAATACTAATAAATTACGGGTGTACTGTTCTTGACACCTGATCAATTAGAAAAAAAAGGATCAGTAACAGTGTTAACAAAATAGGTCCAAGGTTACTTCGACAGAACTTCCCTCGCTCTTGAAGTATAGTTCAACAAATTCCGCTTCTTTGAAAAATTATAAAAAAAATTGTTTTCTGATGACCTTTAGATATGAAAAACCAGTGGTGTAAATGACATCTCGAACCACCTGCGCCGCGGGGGCGCAAATTTCAAGGGGGTGCCGTCCGCAGACATACGGACAATATGAAATATTTTCAAAGCAAATAACCAACGGAAAAGAGTGTATTATTATTAGTAACTTGCTTAACTTCAATTGTTTATGTTTATACATCGAAAGAATGTCACGTAGAAATGTGTTTATTTGAATGAGTTGTCTCCTCAAAACAGAGGACTAAAAATACAATGGAACAAAATGTTGTGAATATGATTATTATTATTCTTATTTGATCATAATTAAATAAAGACGTGGGTGTTCTCACATTTTCTATAAAATGAGGTTCTTAATTTCATCAATAAAAAATTGGTCGAAGACTATAAGTATAATCCGACAAATCCAGCTATTTAATAAAAATTATAAAAATTTATTTTGCCAAATTGTGCAAAATTTTGGACGGTTAGGGAAAAATTCAAAGCGGATTCGTACACCACACGCATAAGAGTATATTGTTATATAACAGTTAAATCAAATTAACATAGAATACTTTGAAATGACGTCATCAAATTGGTGCTGGGGATTATTATAAAATTTTGGTTAGCATTTAACCATCTGTATGATATTTCTAATAAGATATCCAAAATTTGACAACAATGGGTCCAGCAGTTTCGGAGATTACATGTCTAATAAAAATGGATACAGACAAACAGACAGACGGAAATGGGATATTACTTTTTTCGTACTGTAGGGGTCATGAAACGTCGAGAAAATATAAAAGTGGCCTTAGTTTACGCTCGGGAAGTAAAAAACAAAAAACCTCACACCACATTCGAACGTTACAAGTGTGAAGGCAAACACTTTTTGCGACAAGCGAACGAATACCCTTGTAGGAATTCCGCTTATAGGTATTACTATAAAAGCTTGCTGCACAATTTCGATTTTTTTTTTGCGAAAATTTGGATGGTTTGGGGAAAATCTCAAGGCGGATTCACAAGTGCAGGAGTAATTTATAAAATTTAAATCCTGCAAAATTTGACAACAATCGGTCCGGTAGTTTTGGAGAATATCTGTCCAATACGAGTAAAAATCTGGACAGACGGTAGATAGATAGAAACGAGAAACGTCGAGAAAACATGAAAGTGGCTAGTCGCCAGATGGACTCAATTACAATACTTTCTTTAACTTACGCTCGGGAAGTAAAAATTGTTCAAAAGTTGTTTAAATAGAATTTTCCTCGCACCCAAATTGAAATATTCTAACAAATTAAGTCTTAGGAATAAAATATCGATGAGGGTGGGATTTGAACTCGCGGACGCAGAGTTCCAGTTGCTCAAATTCAATGCCTCAGACCTCGTATTAGTTATATGAAGCACGCGGCAAACCAAACATTTTTGTAAAATAATTGTGATTAAAAATAATGGCGCATTCATAAACCACAAGTGTAGGACTGTATTATTTTATAAAATTTAAATAACGTTTAATATACAAAATTTTGAGGTGACGTCATAGAAGTGTTGATGGAGATAAAAGGCAAATTTTGGTTACGGTTTTACCACCTATAGACCTATACGATATTCATAACATATATTTAAAATTTGATAACAATAGGTCCAGTAGTTTCGGAGAATATCTGTCCAAATCTACGCAGACGACGGACAGAGGGCTAACGGCGACAGACAGACAGACGGAAACGGGAGACCCGCGACCTTCGCATTAACAACACTACAATAAAGCAACTAAGCAAGCACGACCGACGCGTTTCAAGGTCTTGTTAGTACTTATAAAAGGTTGGTATAAAATTTCGATTTTTTGCTACAATCTGAATCCCTAGGACAAAAAATCTGGGCGGATTCATAAACCACAAGTAGAAGAGTATGTCATTTTATAAAGTTTAAATAGAATTGGGTATAAAAACATTTAAGTTGACGTCATCAAATTGTTGGTGCTTGCTATAGGCTATTCCGAAAATACCAACGTATAAAATTTTACAACAATTATTGTTTCGGTGTTTTCGGAGATTATCTGTCCAATAAAAATCGACACAGATGACAGACAGACGGAAACAGGAGACCTATTTCAAACTATTTAATAATTTTTTGAAATGACGTTATCTAATTTTTGGAGGTTATAAAGAGACAAATTTTAGTCGATGTTTTGTAATCTAATGGCCACGCTGCTTATTAATATCTTATCAAGACTTCAAAGAGGTTTGTTATGCTGGCTTGAAGATATATTGTAGTACATATTTTATTTTACGCATTTTATATATTGACGATATCTGTACGTCTACTTTCAAAATGTGGATATTATAAGACGCAAATAAAGGAGAATTTCACAATATAAATATTGAACGAGCAAAATTTTGTGATAACGCCGTTATATTTTTAAAATGTAAAAAAAAAACTTTAAAAAAATCCATGCCTATCTTTGCTTGTGTTTTTTATTGCTTTTTCAGTATAAATCTTGACCAGCGTTTTACTTTGTACAAAATTTGAAAACGTATCTAACGTCGGAGATAAATAAATTATTAACAGATTGTCGAAAACCGACATTGTTGTATTCTAGAAGCTGTGAATGATGAACTTGGCTATAATAATATACAGCTTAGTAAATAAAGTCGGAGAAAGATAAATAAAAAACATTTGGTGTGTTTGAACAGGTGCAGCTTAGACATCGATTATAAATTTAATTGTTTGCTTACCCACCTAGCAACTCAAAACAAATGGCATCTCCAATACTAACAGCAATAGCTTGTCCAATCCACCCCATAATCATCAGAACGAGAAAGATCCAAAACTCGTACATATTATACACATCGTCATCACTAACGGACGCCGACGACACAAGACTATTGACGTCAAAATCATTGCACTTTATGTTGCACGTTGTCGATATGTGACAAACGTTTCCGCAAGTACACAAAGGTTCCCGCTGTTGACCATTCGGCAGCGTCACATGTTTGAACATAAAGTATACAACATCTTCCATTTTAGTAGTCTTTGAAATGTTAACATGAGCGGTAAAATCTAAAGTAGCTGGATGATTAGTTTCGTATTCTGGCAGACTCCAGTTGCTGGCTATCACTTTCCAAAACTGTTCTTCCATCGCACAACTAAGCTGCAGAGGAACACATAAACATTTGAAGTTTAGTCTACTTTCTATATACACACTTGACAGTCTACAGTTCCGAGTCTGTTTTGAAGACTGTTTATCAGACAATCTTCAATATTGGGATTCTTGTTGATGGAAGTGTCAAACACTGCATCACCGTCACAGGAGAAGTGCACTCTTTGATCTTTCGGGATTTCTGGAGAAAAATTTATTGCTAAAAACGCAGCTGCCGTTAATAGTTGTGCGGCCAAAAACATTAATTTTTGGCACCTAAAGCGGTCAGCTATAGCACCAACGATGGGTTTAGCAAGCATTCCGCTTACTGGTAATATAGTGTAAATTACTCCTACAACCACTGATGAAAATCCTAGCTGTCTTGCATATGTAGAGAGAAAAGGTTGGACTGGTCCTGTTCCTGTAAACATGTTAGAATTCCTGTGTGTATATGGATGTATTAGAACTGATTTTATTATAACTGTATGAGACGCCTAGCACAACCGCGAAAATAACTGCAATCATGAAGGGTTCGAGAAAGCGTCAATTTCAGAGGTTTTGGTGTGTCAGTGGCTATGTCTAGATAAGATGACAGAGATGAAAAAAATATACTTGGTTCGGAGGTGGGTTCATCAATTACAAGTCAGGGTCACTATTGGAGGCGTGGGCGAGGATTCAGAGGGAAGGTAATGTACTGTAAACAGACTTTGTTAAATATGACTAAATGAGTTATAAATACCCAAAATAAATAAACAATTTATATTAATTACACGATTCAACTGGATTTAAATTGTCCATGATTACTTTCATATGGTGTCAAGAAAATTTCAAAGATGGACCAGTTTTTTACCAACAATTTACAAAGTTGGCAAAAATTCTCGAAAAAAATATAAACAAAATTAGTTTTGTGTTCAAACGTTTGGGCAAAGGTTTGCAGTCTGACTGTTTTAACAGAGAAGTTACGCAACCCAACACAATTCAATATGAAATTACATTTAAATTGCGATGTTAATAGTCAGTCCTTCAACTTTCTGAAAATAGTTAAAAATAATACTCCGCTAAATAAAATTGCTTATTTTGTTAATTCTCAAATAATAGGTTCTCTAGCAACAAATTTTCTTTTGAGCTTAAAAAGCATCTATTACGGGTTTGGAATTTTGCAGCGTCATCGAAATGTTATCGTTACGGATGTGAGAGTTGCGAAAAATCCAAACCACACTCAACTTTAATTTGCGGTTGTGCATATTTTCTAGAAAATACAATTTTCAAGATTTTTATTTTTATTTTTTCTCAAATGATTTAGTTCTATGAGTTTTTGCATACTTAATACATTTTTACTTCACACTAAATAACACGTTCAACATTTGCCTACAAATTTGTTAAGACGTTTTGTTTCTTTATTTTTGGACATGCGGTGTATTTAATAATGACAATGATACAGTTTATATTTAAAAAAAAAAAAAAAAAAACATATAAATAAGGGAAATGGTTAATATTAGCTGGAACACAATGCATTGTTAAAATTTTGGAGTTTATCTGATGATCAGTACAATAAAAAGGATTTTTTGGCTAAAATGATTAATTACCAAAGAAAAAATGGTTGCGAAAGTATTTCCTGTACTTTAATAATATTGAAATATTCTTTTCGTTTGGATGTTTTGAAGAAATAATAACAACATAAGTAACGTATAAATTATAAAATTGTACTATTTTACTCCTCATCAAATAAAAATCATGAGGTGAGATTTAAAGTTGACAATTTAAAATTTGCTTTAGGAAAATGGGAATAACTTTTATGGTAATACTCTTGGAAAAGAACTAGATTTTATCAATTTAGGACTGAGAAAGGAGTAACAGAAATAAGAGGCGAATACCAGACAATATTTTTTGAGAATTATAGAAATTCCTTTTCTTGGTAAAAAAGAAAATTACCTATACGCGTTTATTTTGAATCAAATATTGGGTGATTTTTTAAAATTCTGCTCTAGTTAGTCACGATGCTTACGTCAGCCGTTTCGATTGCACTGATGACGTACGCGTCATGGCCAACTAGAGCATAAAATCAAAAAAACACACAAGACAGAAATTTTGTTCCATTTTATTACAACACGTTATTTTTCGGTTTTTATATCACGCTAAATTCAAAAACAGAGAATTAATATTTCAGGCAAATATAATTGCTGTTTTATCAGGAAAAAGCAAATTAGACGAATTTGGATAAACCATAAAAACATACTGATGTATTAAATGGAATAAAAGAGGATAAGCGTTGATTGCGTATTTGCATAGCGATAATATAGTGATTTTAATTGCTGTCTTGGTGCACATGTGGTATGATATTTGATAAGTTATCTTGGTTATAAACAAAGTATTGTAATTTTACAATGTCTAGAATTTTTTTAATAATCCAATTTATTTGAATTTTTATGCCAAAACCAGTACCAAATCAGTGGTAAAAGGATCACATTACATTTCAAGTTAAATCAAACTTCATTACTGAATGACATAATACTTGTTACAAAAAGCAGCTGTTTAGGACCACAATGAGTTAATTAACGTCTGTTATTGCTGTTCTTAAATTATGTCAACTAATAAGAGTTTTGGCTTATTGCGTCAGAATTTCATTTAGGTATACTTTTTTTTGGAAAATTTTACCCAGCTTCTTGTATGCATCTACTGACAACAAATGTATCCAAACACATACATACCTGCATTAAACAGGAAATAGTGAGCTTTCATAGGAAGCAAATCTTTGTTAATGCGATCAATCATTTTGGTAATGATTACAGTTTCGCCTAACCTGAAAAATTTAAAATTAATTTATATTATTTTATAATTACCATATTTTGTTACATACTTATAAATGTATGAAATAAAAATGAGACTTCAACGTGGTATCAGAACCAAAGTGGAAAAATATTTGCTTCAATAAACATAAATGCACTAATAATTGACGTAAGGTTTCTGATATAGTATAGTATTTGTAGGTAGCGGCTTTTTTCTTTTATGGTAATTTAATGCTACCAAATACCATTATTACCATACCACTACCTTTGCACCATGTAGAAATTTCTAGGTTATATGTATGTCGTCAATCTGTCAAAACGTGACGTTTTACTGACAACACATTTTGCGCGAATTTGAATATCAACAATATAAAAAGCAACATTATATTAACTTCATAAATAAACAATTAATGTACAAATTGTCGCTTTACATTTATTTCATTTTTTTTAACTTAATCAAATGGTTCCTAAGAGCAATTTGCTTGTCCTTGAAACTCCGTTTTCCTTTGCTCTGCACTTTGTGTTTAACCATAAGGTAATTCTTATTTTTCCGCTTTTCTCGGTTGGTTTTTGAACAATGAATATTCATTCTTCCATCTTTATAACCAAACTTCTCTCTATCTGCTTGTCCTGCCCTGACACTTTCTATTCTACTTTGCTTATCATGTTTTCGTTTTTTATAAATGTTCTCAATATCGCCCAATTTCACGAATTCATTCCGTTCATTCGACTTTGTTTCTTCAATTTTTCTCTTGGCACCTTTCTTGGACCCTTGAATGTGCTTCTTGATATTGGCCACATCAATTCTTTTAAAATCTTCATCTGTTAAAATCCTATCAATTGTAATTTGATGCGCTTGTTCTCTTTTAGAAGTCTTTTCATCTTTTGACCTTTTCGCTTTTAATATTTTCCGTTTTGGTTGCGTCTTTTTTTCAACTTCAGTTTCTTCTTCCTCTTCTACAAGATCTTGGACGCTTTCATCATCATCTTCCTCATCCCCAGATTGTTCTTCACTTTCACTATTTGTTGCATCATCTTCACTCACATTTTCTTCATCAGAAGAGTGTTTTATGTCTATCCACTCCTCATCATCTGAACCTGATTCTGAATCTATTTCCACTTCTTCATTGTCTTCCCGTAGAAGTACTTCTGCTCCTGGTACATAATCTTTGGCGTCAACATGTCCATAATTCATAGGAGTTAGTTCTTCAGTGGCTTCTGTAGGACGCCCTCTATCTTTTTTATGCAGAAGTTCAGGGCGTGTATCTCTGAACAAATGTATTAAAGATTTAGCTGCCATCATCACTGAACGATCCCTATATGTTTTATACATAGCTAAATCTCTCAATAGATCTTCACTCATTGCTAAAGGACATCTGAAACATATTTCACGTACTGCATTTAATCCTATCGCCATCACGTCAGAGGAATTTCTTTCAGTAATAAAATTGTTTGCCAAGGTTTTTAAAACTGATTCAATAATATCTGGAGGAATCAAGTCATGACTAGCTTGTGCTGCAAATTGCAGTATTCTAGTAACTTCACGTTGATGGGGTTGCAAGAAGCGTTGAATATATGGGTAGTAACTAAATAAGAAGAGCTGATGTAAACCAATAAGGCGAGATATAACATCTAGTGTTATTAGTTTGACTTCAAATTTTTTGTTTGTTGACTCCAATTGATGAAACAATTTTTCAGCCATTCCTGCAAAATTATCATTACAGTGTGTTATTTAAATTAGCAAATTTTCTACCTTGTGGGTCATGAAGTAAATGTATTGCAGAAAAATTAAAAGTAGGTGCTGCAGATTTTTTCTTGTACGCTTTGGAAGCCAACTTCTTCACTTTGTTCAACTGCTTTTCCCTTTTTCTTGTTTTTTTGTTTACTTTATTAGCCATCATTACTTCTTTCGGGTCAACTTCATCTTCAGAATCAGAGTCTGAATCCTTTTCTTCTTCATCTTTACCAACGAAAAATTTTAAAGAAGCCACCATGACCTTTAATAATAAAATAAAACACTCCAATAGTCACAACTTGATACTTACTTTTGTAAATTTCGAAAAACAACCAGTCGCAATAACATTGACAGTTTTGGCGTCATTCCACACATTTTTCTTGTACAATTCAATCATTATATCGACTGACATTTTTGCCGCCCTTGAATTGGTATCTTTTAACATCGTGAACATAAAATTCTGCAACGATGTGTTCAGTTTGGCATTCTTATGTTTAGCGTTCATGTTCTTTATGTCTGTTATAATGTGCGTTTCTAGAAATGTCCTCAACGCTTTATCTTGACACCTCAAAAGCTTAAAAAACAACTCCAACAAGTCTGTAGGGGTTAGCAAATTTTTGTTGCGTAACAGAATAAGAGCTCGACAGAAAGTCATCCTCATTGTACTATTCAACACCGTGCTGTTCTTCTCAAGTAAATCGACCAGTTGTTGTGGCAATGTAAGTAACTCTTTGGGGTAACAATGAGCCACTTGTGCCATAAACATCACAAGATCGTCCAAAGTTTTATTAGTTTGGTCAGGACTTAACTGGAAGGCTTCAATCGTATTCAGAAAATGTTGGTGCTGTTGTAAGAATTCTTCATGGTAGGAGGCTGGATCTCGTTTGATTAAGTTTTGTAACTGTGGTAAGTTTTCAGGGAGTTGATTATTATGTCTTCGTACCATTTTGCATGGATTGTTTGAAATCTACATGAAAATGACAAAATCAACACGTGTGAATAGGTTATGTTAAGACAAAGAGGGACTCATCAGGTATGCCAACAGCACGATGAAGTATCAAATCATGAATCCAAGTTTTTGCTCAGAAATGATTATAAATATGGAATAGTGCAACGAAAGGTTTAATTTCTTTATTTTAGAAAATTTTGTATTTATTGGAGTTGTTGTTATGGTCATAAGATTCAAATAAATATAAAATAGGAAATATTTTTTAACTGGGTGTTTGTAACCCTGCTCATTTCAAATTCCCTGCATTTGACAGATTGATGTTTGATTTGATGAAAAAAATGAGGTTATGTTTGTTTGGCCTTACTAGAGATTGCTTGTTGTGTTGGGGTTGAGTGGGGTTTGGGAGTCATTTGTGATCATTTTTTTTGTGAGTTAATTAAATATGTCATTATTTAAAATATCCAGGTTTAAACAATTAATGTTATGCACTCAAAGGACCTTAAAATCAAAGTTAATTGTTAGAAATTACAACGATATTCCATTTGAAGACATACCAGAAGTATCACCTGCTATGATTAAGAAGATTCTAAATGATAAAAAGATCAGTTTTGATGAAGGTTTTACTTGTTTTATTGTTCATTGTACATGCCACAAAAAAACGTCTAAAAATACCCCAAAGAATCTTTACATTAATAAAACAACAGGTTTGGAATAAATGGTGAATGTTACAAATGTTACAATAAATATTTTTTAGGAATGTTCATGTGTTCATGTTGTAAAAAAGCTGGTCAGTGGGACTTTTTTAACCATCATTTTTTCTCTGCTGATGGAAAACCAAAGCCATTAGAAGATGCAGATTATCAAAAGCAGCTAACAGAATCTCTTAAAGAAATCAGGGAAAACAGTGAAGTATTACTAAGTAATAATAAATTTGAATCTGTATTAAGTAAATTTAAACTTCCAGTAAGGTGTGAAAAATTGTTTATTACCAACATTACAATGGTTATTTTTAGGTAGTGTCTAGTAACTCCATACAAAATTTAGATATAAGAATTGATAAACCGCTGCAGAATCTCTTTTTGCCTTTAGAAAATGTTGAATCTGAAATAGTAGGCTACAGAAATTTAAATTTCAAAGAGGAAAATGACGTGATACTACCACATTTAATGTATGGGGGCCTGCTAATAGGAAAAGCTTTAAAAAACAAAGATGTTGCAATTTTGGTACCAAACATTGCAGACTTCTTAGTTCTTTTAAACGCAAAAGTGACACAGAATGTTGTTTGTCTGCCAAATGGAGTTGACACTTTATCACAATATGTTCTTCCAACTCTGGAGAGATTTAAAAAATTAATTCTGTGGTTTGGTAATGACATTAAGTCATGGGATTCTGCAAGAAATTTTGCAAAGAAATTAGGGGAGAAACGATGTTTTTTTGTGAGGTGAGATCTTTGTTAACAACAAATAGTAAAATAATTATATATTTTAGACCTAGTGAAAAGCAGTTGTTGCCTCATCTTGTCGAACATCAGGATTTTAAATCTATTGTGAATGCAGCCCAACCAATTTGGCACAAATCTATAACAAACTTTGGCAGTCTCAGGGAGGATGTGTTTTATGATTTAAAAAATATTGATAAAGTGTGATTGATATTCTCAGTTTGAGCCTCAATAACTATTTTAAACCACAGGTTGAAGGAGTGAAGTGGAAGCGTTATCCAACTTTGAACAAAATTTTAAAGGGCCATCGTAGAGGAGAACTCACTGTAATAACTGGACCCACTGGTTGTGGTAAAACAACATTTATAAGTGAATATTCGTTGGATTTGGCCATGCAAGGGGTATTAACTAATTATACATTTTTATAAATTGACAAACCTAGATCTTTAACATAGGTCAACACACTGTGGGGTAGTTTTGAAATAAGAAACGTCCGTCTGGCGAGAACAATGTTGCAGCAATTTGCTGGTTGTTCTCTTGATGAAAATTTACATTTATTTGATACCTGGGCTGATAAATTTGAAAAATTACCCATCTATTTTATGACTTTTCATGGACAGCAATCAATCAAAATTGTTATGGATGCAGTGGAACATGCGACGTACGTCCATGATATAGCTCATGTTATAATTGATAATGTTCAGTTTATGATGGGTATAACAGAGGATTACAAACACATGGATCGATTTTGGGCCCAGGATGTTATTATTGCTGCATTTCGCAGTTTTGCCACCAGGAAAAACTGCCACGTTACTTTAGTTATTCATCCAAGGAAAGAACGGGATGAAGAAGATCTAACTACAAGTTCTATTTTTGGTGGAGCTAAAGCGTCCCAAGAAGCCGATAATGTGTTCATAATTCAAGATAAGAGGTTGCTGTCAACTAGGGGAAAGAAATATTTGCAGGTGTTAAACTCATTTGTATGCTTGAGCGTTGTAATCAAATGTATATTTTAGATTTGTAAAAACCGATACAGCGGTGATTTAGGAATATTGCCGTTAGACTTCGATAAAGCAAGTTTGAGCTACGCCACTAAAAAGAAGAAAGAAGAGAAAAAAGAAAAAGTGCAAGATAAAGTAAGCAAAAAGGATAAAAGTGTAGAAACGATAAGTGATAGTTGAAATAGGAAATGTATCTCATTATACACTGGCAGTTGTAAGATATTTTTGATATACTTATTTTTAATAAAATGTTTTTGTTTAGCGGCGGATTTTTTGAATTTCGCGCTGTTTATATAGCGGGCTTTGCCTCCTGGGAATCAGCTGAGATCCAACACAACACAAAAGTGTGGTTGGAAAAATTATTTTTTATAACGTTAAGTGAAAAATCGAATTTTCCAATGATTCTACGTTGAAATACGGTAGAAATGTGTCGGCGTTTCGTGTTGTTTTGCGTTATTTTGTGTTTTAAGTATGTGGCGTTATCCGAGTGGAAAAAACCCACAGTTTTCATTGCTATTTTGGCCCGGAATAAAGCTCATACATTACCTTATTTTTTAACAACTTTGGAGAACTTGGCCTATCCGAAAGATCGGATTTCGTTGTGGTGAGTATTGACGTTGTGTTGACACCGGCTCAGGTGTTTTAAATATCGTGACGTGACAGTAGATTAGTGGCGCCAATTTTGAATGTTTTCGTTTTAGGATTAGAAGTGATCATAACAGTGATAAAACCGTAGAGATATTGCATAAATGGATTGCCACTGTGAAAGATCAGTACCATATGATTAATACAGCATTTGTGGAGGGTGAAGAATCATATGTGGATGAGCATGGTCCCGCTCATTGGACCAAAGAAAGATTCAATCATGTCATAAGTTTGAGGGAATCTGCCTTAAATTTGGCCAGGGATCTTTGGGCAGATTATTTTTTGGTATGTAATGGAAAATTTCTATATATTTATAAGCAATAGCATCTCAGCATTTAAACTACTAACAGAGTATAAAGCAAAATTGTTTAAAAGAAAGAAAAAAAATTGAAGTATCTATGCTGATGTATGCCCTCTTATGAGTTCACGGAAGCAACTGTTAGAAAGTTTTTTGTTATTAAGGTGTATTTCTGTAATCGTTGGTAACAACATTTCTCTATTTTTTTAAGTGGACATTTCACTGGAATAAATTAAATTAAAGCATATTTGTATATTGTTCGTATGAACGAGTACTTGCATGTTTTCCTAGACCATGAAAAAACAGATGTCCCGTTTCCGTCTGTCTTTCATCTGTGACAATTTTTATTAGACTGATAATTTCCAAATCCTACGTAATCAAAATTGCATTTGAATTAAGTTAAACAAAGCGTGTGCAAGAAACAAATGGTTTTACATCCGATACTTTATTATTTTCGGATTTCGTAGAGGGTCGGTTCTCGTCTTGAAAATTAAAGTGCAATTGATAATAATCTGACAAAACTTTTGTAAAGAGCATTAATGTAGATAACACAATGATCTTCAAGTCGTATTAAAAGTTTTCGTCGTAACGTTTCATAACAGAGACTTACGAGCAGAAAAAGATGAACAAATTTGAGGCGCGCAAACTTTTGTATTTTCGTTCCTACAAAAAAATCTTCTCAACTTTTGTATAAACCATTTTCTGGTAAACTATTTAACTAAATTCTTTTCTATATGCGGGTTATTTTTATCAATTTCTTAGCGTTGCCACGGGAGGTATGTTATTTTACGAATCGTGTACTTTAGAAGACCGGATTTGGAAATGGCACAACAAGCGATGGGAGTATTTTAAACTTCTAATAAAAATTTTAATAAAAGAAATTTACAACTTAGATTCTTGTACAAATAAATAATAAAGAAATAGAAAGCTTCATTTTCTTTTTGTAGAGTCCAAATTTTCTACATTTGGAACTTTAAAATTCTTTAGAAAACATTGGTTATGTTCTACTGTACTTCAGGGATGCGGGAAGTTCGGTATAAATAACTTTAGACCATGTTTACTTCCCGAGCGTAAGTGAAGGAAGTATTGCAATCGAGTCCATTTGACGAATGATCTCTTTTATGTTTTTTCGACGTTTCATGACCCCTACAGTGCGAAAAAAGTAGTCTTTTGTTTCCGTCTGTCTGTCTGTTTGTCGGTTGGTTTATTTGTCTGTCTGTATCCATTTTTATTAGACACCTAGAATCGATTGTTATCAAATTTTGTATGTATATTAGAAATATCATATAGATGGTTAAATGCTAATCATCCCCACCAACAATTCGATGACGTCATTTTAATAAATGATTTGAATCTTACACAAAAATATATTCATATACTTGCAGTGTACGAATCCACTTTCAGTTTTTTAGCTAAACGTTTAAATTTTCGCAAGGTATAAATCACGTTTTATTCCCGACATGGTTTGAACGTCTCCGTGGCGCAGTGTGTGTATCGGAGATAATTGCAACCTGCGGTACTACGATTCTGGTTCGATGCCGAACTTGACTCTTTCCTTTTTTTTTATTGCATTGGTATAACGCTGTGACTACTTTTCTTTTATGCTGTGACTAGAATTATCCATGTTGATAACGTCATCACAAATTTTTTATTGGTTAACGTTCGTCTTATATTAGTACAGAGTTTTATACAATTTTGACTTTTTTTTGAAAAAATCTGGATGCCTAGGGGAAAATACAAGGCGGATTCATAACCCACAATACAGGAATATGTTAATTTATGAAATCAAATACAGAAAATAATACAAATTTTGGCTTGACTTAAAATAAGTATTTCACCTACAGAAACTTTTAAATACAGTATAACCTCGATAATCCGAATTAATTGGGGAAAGGTGTGTTCGGATTAGCGATTTGTTTGGATCAGAGAATTGAAATTTCCCATTATGTATGTATTATCTCCCTTATGCAAATTTCGACCCATTCTCGACGATTTTCGAAATTTAACTAAATACTTCCATGTAGATCAAGTCGCAAAAAAATCCGAATTTCACACCGAATTTTCCGAAAATGTTGCTCCGTTATCATAAACATGCTATATTTTTGGAATCAGTACGTCGGGATATATATATCTCTGAATTTTTTCAGAATTTTTAGGCAACTTTTTCTAAAATGAAATTTTACACTGTGGTAGTACTTGCCAAATAAGCTACCCTCTAAGAAAATAAAAGGCGGGTGGGCCAGGCTAGTATTTGCCAAAATAAGACTCATTTTGATAAATGACCTACTCTTCTAAGAAAAGGTACTAGCCCCGCCCACCCACCCTATATTTTCTTAGAAGAGTAGGTCATCTGCCAAAATCAGTTTTATCTTGGAACATATGAAACTGATTTTTGGAAATGACAGATCCTCTAAGAAAATAAGGGTGGGTGGGCGGGGCTAGTACTTGTCAAGATAAGACTGATTTTGGCAGATTACCCACTCGTCTAAGAAAATAAAGGGTGGGTGGGCGGGGCTAGTACTTATCAAGATGAGACTGATTTTGCCAAAATGACATATCCTCTAAGAAACTAAGGGTGGGTGGGCGGGGCTATTACTTGTTAAAATAAGACTGATTTTGGCAGATGACCCACTCTTCTATGAAAATAAAGGCTGGGTGGGTGGGGCTAGTACTTGTTAAAAATAAAAAAAAATAAAAATCAAAAAATGACAAATTGAAAAATCAGATAAATGAGAAATCGGAAAATTGTACAACTGCATAATCGGAAAATCAAAAACTAAAATATCGAAAAATTAAAAAAAAAAAAAACAAATCTTATAAAATCGAATTAAAAATTCCTCTTTTCATTTTTTTTTAGTTTTTAGATTTTTCAACTTTTGAATATTTCATTTGATAATTTTTTTGACAATTTTGCAGTTTTTAATTCAAATCTTTTGATTTTTCAAGTTTTAACTTTACAATTTTGGAATTTTTTAATTTTTAATTTTTCAAGTTCTCAAGTTCAAATTTTTCCTTTTCACGATTTGTCATTTTTCGATTTTTTACTAAAAGAACAAATTTATTCGAACCGAAATTTTAAAAAATCGAAAAATCCAAAAATTGAAAATTAGAAACAAAATTTTCAGATGTTTTAAAGTTACTGTGAACATGGCAATCGCTGGTCAAAATTACTTTTTACTCCCTTCCAAAAACTCGGTGAATCAAAAATCGAAAATTTAAAAAAATATACATCTATTTTCTCGATGTTTTTAAAAATCAAATAATTGAGAAATCGGAAAACTGCCACAATTGTAAAATTAGAAAATCCAAAAGTTTTTTTCAGTTGCCCAGAGAAATCAAAAATTGAAAGACAGATCAAAAAATTGAAAATTTAAAAAGCGAGAAATCGAAAAATTCGAAAGTTGAAAAATCGAAAAAGTGAAAAATCTAGTAGTACTCGCTGCGATAAGACTGATTTTGGCAAATCATCTATTCTCTAAGAAAATAATGGGCGGGTGGGTGGGGCTAGCACTTGCCAAATAACCGACCCGCTAAGAAAATAAAAGCCGGGTGGGCCGGGGTAGTATTTGCCAAAATAAGACTTATTTTAGCCAATGATCTACTCTTCTAAGAAAATAAAGAATAGGTCATCTGTCAAAATCAGTCTTATGTTGGCAAGTATGAGACTGATCTTTACAAATGACATATTCTCTAAGAAAATAAGGATGGGTGGGCGGGGCTAGTACTTGTTAAAATAAGACTGTTTTTGGCAGATGACCCACTCTTCTAAGAAAATAAAGGGTGGGTGGGCGGGGCTAGTACTTTTTCTTAAATTTAGCTAAGTACTTTTTCTTATAGATTTCGGGGTGCAGAAGTCACTATCGGCCTCATTTCTTCGTTAACTTCAACATTTTTTCCAGAATTAGTTAATTAATACAGTGCATTGAAACATCACAATTTTTAAGAATTTAAAAAAATTCAAAATACAACACGTACAGAAAGATCTTGCGTCATTTTTGCAAGTAGGTGCATGTTTTCAAGTTCTGTTCAGATTGCAGAGCTTTTCTTAGGATTAAAGAGATATCGACTTCAACTAGCCTCTGTTCGGATTACTGGATGTTCGGATAATCGTGGGTTCGGATTATAGAGGTTATACTGTAATGCATATTTTTAAAATATGTAAATACATTTTTGTGCAAATAATTTAATTAAAAAAAACTTAATTTGCGTTGTTTATTTAAACACATGTTTATACTTCTGTAGTTTTAATTGCACATTTAGTTGTGTTAAGCGAAGCAACAGTTTTTATTTCTTTGATATTTTTTTAGAAAATCACAAATATTTTTTTCCTCTTGCAAACTCAATTCGGCGACATATTGTAGATTATGTAGGAAGAAGTATTAAAAATATCACGTTTTCCAAAATTAGAGTTTAGAGATGTGTCAAAAATCAAATTTATTTTTAAAAATGAAAATTTTACGAATTTGGAACTCTTGACCGATTTAAACTTATTGTATATATTTATAAAATCGTAAAATAACGAAAGCATTTAAAAGAAATCTGTATGGCAAGCTTGGTGTTATTTTTACTTTCTGAGTTTCAGCTAGGGAAGTATTGTAATCGAGTCCATTGGGCAACTGGCTACTTTCATATTTTATCGACGTTTCATGACTCCTAGAGTACGAAAAATATGTCTCCCGTTTCCGTCTGTGTCGATTTTTGTTAGAAACTACTAGAGCGATTGTCATCAAATGTATTTTAGAAGTATCGTGTAGATGGTAAAACGAAATCAAAATTTGTCTAATCATTCCTACTAACAATTTGACGACGGCGACGTCTTGGAAAAATGTTTTTTTATAAATTTTATAAAATAACATACTCCTTCCTGTACTTATAGTTTATGAATCTGCCTTGATTTTGTTTATTATTATTATATTTTTTATTGTTTAATCCGACTTCTTCTTTAAAAACATAACACGAACCGCCATAAGCAGAGCCGTGGTCTTCGGAGATGAGACGTCTGTGGATGGATGCCGACAGGCCGCAATTTTTTTTTATTGATCAAATCAAAAACGGTTCATCGTATTTTCCGGAAAATTTAAGAATACAGTACTGTTATTATTAGTATTACACTGCACCAATCCAAGTTGATATACGTGTCCTTAGTAAAATGTTGATGACAACATAACAAAATTTCGTTGTGAATAACTTATTTAAAACATATACGTATAACATGCTTTTTTACCTGTAGTTTAACAATCCATACCTAGCTTCATTTTATAATTATAACTTAGGGGTTATTATAAAAAAATAAAATTTGCAAAATTAAATTCTGTAATTCTATAATTCGTTCGATTGTCCTTCAGGAGCGAGGAAAGTTCTGTTTAAATAACCTCAGACTGTCGTATAAAATTAATATTACCTTTCTGCAGCATTAAGTGCAACCGAACACTTCTTTCGCCGAGAAACAAAGAAAATCTGTTGTATTGTGTTTCTCGCGTGTGTTTTGTTCGCCCTTCTGCACTTAACCATAATTCGCCCGTTAGTCAGTCGTCCTACTTCTTGTCCCATTGCCAATTCCCATAAATCTCTCGTTTTCTCCTTTATCTAATTGAAATTTATTTAATTTGTTGCTTTACTTGTTCTTAACTATTTTTCCATCCTCCTAAACCGGTTTAAAACACAACTATAATATCCACAACTAAACCAATCGTTTTTCATGGGATTGAAAATACAAGAGTAACAAATTTAAATTTTGTTTAGAAGAAGTAAACCTGTTGAATATTTTACTACTTAGCAAGAGCTCGATGAAAGTTTTGCTCTCAGGCCGTATCCACATTTAACGGTTTTAACGTGTTTCTACATCTACAACTTTATTAAGTCGATTTTACGTGAACTTGATCAACAACTCAACATCTCTAAAGAGAAATATTTCTCTTTCCAGGCCTTAGACTGCGACGTTTTTTTAACGAATCCACAAACACTAAACATTCTCATATCAAAAAATTACACCATTGTGGCCCCAATGTTGAAGTCCGAAGGTTTATACTCCAACTTTTGGCACGGGATGACTGATGATTACTATTACCAAAGAACCGACGACTATAAACCCGTATTAAATAGAGAAAAAGTGGGTTGTTTTAATGTGCCGATGGTACATTCTTGTGTATTGGTTGATTTAAGAAAATACGTATCGGATCTGTTGACATACAATCCCCAACAAGTGCCGAATTTTGATGGGCCAGTTGATGATATTATCACATTCGCTATCGCAGCGAATCGGAGTGGAGTGTCACTGAATTTGTGCAATGATGAAACGTTTGGTTATGTTATGGTGCCGTTGGAACAAGATGATAAATTGATAATGGATCTTGACCAGTTGACTAATATTAAGTTGGAAATTTTATCTGAAGAGGAACCTCTAGTTGTTAGTAAATTGTTAGAATCTTATATATCATTTCCGGAGAAGGATACGCTAGGATTTGATAAAATTTTTATGATCAATTTGGTGCGGCGGCCGGAGAGGAGAAGACGTATGAACTTGTGTTTTGATGAGCTGGGACTACATGTTTCAGTTGTGGATGCTGTGGATGGAAGGTAAGAAATTTCTCCATATTTTATTTGTAGCATGAGAATATTATGTGGTCCAGCGGTGTATGTTATGTGGGCATGGTAACTTTTATTAAAAAAAGCTATATGGAAGCTATGAAATTGTTTATAACAATATTAATAATATTTTAAGATATTACCTTTTGTGGTAAATGGAAATTCCAGAATACCAAGACATAGAACTTTAAATCATTTATTAATATGTTATTTAACCACATAGTTAAGAAAAAATTAAACACTTTTTTTTAAGAGATTAATTTATTCAGCTTTTCTGGATTATTACCTGCAATAATGGATTAATAAGTGTAACTGACAACAGGGTGAAGATGGTATAAAAGGTTAAAAACTAAGAATATGTTGTTATTTAAACAAAAAAAGTTCATGTCATTTCCAGAAAGAATATAAAACATATTTATACATTTTAGAAACTCTTGTTGGTTAGTTAAAGTTATCTGGAAACTATACACATACAACTTTTTTTAGTGGAACCCCTATACATTTTTACATGTTCTAATTAGGGTGTTTTTGTGCATTATTCCAAGGATATTATTATCTTTAAAATTTCGTAGCAATTTCGCCAAGTTATGCCAATTTTCTTGACATTTTTTAGCAATACAAATTTGCAACTGGGTTATTTTTAATATCTGTCATGTAATATTTAGTATACATATAGAGTTAGTATAAAGTCTCGGAAGGTCAAATAAATGTGTTATTTAAAAGGTATTTTTTTTAAATTAGGTTGGATATATAGCTTAAAGTAGCGAATTGATTCCAACATTTTTCCTTTTTTTATCGTTTTTGGTTTGATAGAAATGGCTTCCTGCTTTTTTTAATGGGACACCCAGTGTAGGGAAGAGTAAAAAAAACTCACTTTTCAAATAACAGTTATTTCGAAATTTTTTGTTTAATTGAACATGTAGAACTACTTTTATGAAATGAAATCACGTTTTTCACAGAGAAAAATTGTGATAAAAGAAATTAAAACGATTTGAGTCAACAAAGTGTATGCACAAATTATACAGAATATCATGTTTCCGATGGGGCAAATAAACATAAATGTATAGACATTATTAATTGTACAAAAGTTCAAGTTACGTAAAACTTTTAACGATTGCAAAAAAATCTATTTTAGTAGTAGGTAATTAAAAAATGTAAATCGTTTTTCTTTTGTGTATAAAAAAGTAAATTACCTACGACAGGTTGTTTGGCCGAAGCTAAAGTTTAATCAAGTCTTCTAAATTGAGTGTGTGTGGATGCGTATGGAAACATTTTTTAGTAGGTAAACTGAAGTATCAGTTAATGCCGTTACGTAATTAAGCGTTTGCTTTGATTGGGAGTGTTGCACTCATCGATATCAGATTGTATCGTTATTTAAACTGCCGTTTCGAGTTCCATGGCAATATTCACGAGAAATTTGTTTCAAAGGTTTCAATTTATACCGTAATGTTACTTAACAACGACGATGCTATAGAATGTAATGTGAGTAGGCCTCGCCTGTGAGGTAAATGAGTAAAACAGAACAGACTACGAATCATGAATTCGAACTGTGGAAGGAGTCGAATAATCGAAATAGTGACATTTGTACGCAAAGTCATGAAGTTATCATTACATCTATTAAAATTTTCAAGTTATATAATGCAGAAAGTTTAGATGAAGAAACGCCTAACTGTTTATGATTTGATCACAGCTACTTTTGTTTGTTACCCTCACAAACATGTTTTAATTTACAGCAAGTCTTTTTGTTCAATGTTATTTTTGAAAGAGCGAGACTTTTGACTTCAATGTTTATTTTTGAGTCACTTAGTTTCAAAGTTTTTCAAGCAATACACACATACATACAGTATTATTATTATTAGTTCGTTATGTAGTGCTGCGATACTTGGTCTTTTATTTTTCTTACTATGTCTTCTTCCACTGTCTGCAGATGGTTTGTTTTTCTTTTATATTCAGGCTGATTTGTTTGTATTGGTGCTAGTATCATCCGTAACATTTTCTTACAATTAATCTTAATTCTTGCTGCTTGTGGTGTAAGAATTCGCTTTGAGTTTTTCCCCTAAACGTCCAAATTTTGGCAAAAACATTTGCAAAGTACGCATAATGACATTTTACTTCTAACATGGGATATTGTTTTTGTTGGTTAGTTAGGAGAACGCTTACCTGTGGTCGCACGCTCGATGCCAACCTTAGCCGTTTCTTTTTTTTTATTGATCAAGTTAAGAACGAGTCACCCCATTTTCTCGAAAATGTGAGAATACACACGTCTTTATTTAATAATGATAAAATAAGCGTTACTATAATAATAATATTCAGAACATTTTGTTCGACTATAGTGTAATTAATAATTTTAGTACTCTGGTTTGACGAGACAAACTCATTCAAATCAAGCAGATTTCTACGTGACATTCTTGGGCTGTATAAACATAAACACTTGAAGTTATTATTACGGACAGAACATTTTTTCTGTTGGTGATCTGCTCTAAATATATTTTACATTATCCGTACGTGTGCGGACCACGTGATTTTGGAATTTATCATGTCCATCGTTGAGGTCTTTTCTAAATTTTTCATTTCACATACTCTTTCTTCTTGTGTTGTTTTTTTTATCCCCCCACTATATTGTTATCTGCTTTTCTTTCCGTCTTATTCGTGTCCTATCGGTTGTCTTCACTGATGTCCTCCTTTTGAATTGTTCTTTTATTTTTGTTTTTTTCCTTTTCTTTATCATATGTTTTTGCTATGTATGTTTTGAGCTTAATAATTCTTAATTTAATGAAAGTATTGTTACCGAATTATTTTTTCTAACAAATTGGTTGGTTGGTTAAAAAGTTCGCAGTAATAAAAACTCGCCGTTTTGGTGAAAATTTAAAAACACATCATTGTGTGCAAGGAAAACGGTAAGAATTACATACATCGAGTCGACAGTATTTAAATATGTTATTGTTATTCCACAAAACAGTGTAAAAATTGAAGATTGAAAACCAAATTTTAATAAACAAACCAACCAATTTGGACACCGATAGATGCAGAGTGACCATTAATTATTATACAATACTTCACCAAAAACTGAGGGGGCTAAAGAATTGGCAATATTGTTATGAAATACTTTAGCATTGCCCGCTAACTCAAGCGTTGGATATTTTATAAGATCATTTCTCTGTTTGTACATGTAAAATCAGTAGATATATCTTAAAGTTTAAATTAAGGACATTAGGCGGAAAGCATTTGCTTTTTTTTTTGGAATGTTTAAAAGGGGGCAAGAAATTTAACTTTAAAACTTGTTTTGATGTGTAAGTAGGTAGAAAGAGTAGTATCAAAGTAATCAACATGGCAGGTTCTATAATTTATTGCTTGTTACCCGCAGTTTGAACGTTTTTTCACATCTTCTCATAAATTGAAAAAAAAAAAATCTAAAAATCCTTCGAAGCTATTTTATATCTACTTAAACTTTGTCAGTATAAATCAAATTGATAATTTGTAAAAATACGATGCATCGTTTTTCAGGAAATGTTGCCTTATTTCAGAAATGCGGAAAGTATTATGATGAAATTACATCGTGCATATTAAAATTAATATATTTATCTCTACTAAAAATTGCTTTATAAAATTTTATTTAAAATACGCTCTAACACTGTTCGGTTATGCGTCAGAGGCGAAAAAAGTTCGATGTAAATATGGTTTAAATTATTTTTTATTACGATTAGTGTGACGTTATAGATTTGAATTTTGAAAAGAGTGCAAAATATGCATTAGTTCTGTTGTTAATAATTTTTTTGATTTCAAATATTTTTTGAAATACTATAGAGAGATCTGAGATCTTCCTTGTGACTCTGAATTAAAATAAAAAGTTTTCGAGTTTTAGTTGTCTTATTGTAAATAAGCAGCAATAATAAGACCAACATTGGGAAGCAATTAAGAGTCTTCGAAACGAACTATGTCAGCAGTAATCCTTATGCTTGTAATGCCATTGATTCGTATGTATAATTTCGCCAATTACGTAAACTATTGGAATACACTGGTTTTAATTAAATGAAGGAAAATCACCTCTCATTTGAGTACCATTGAAAATAACAACCATTTTGAAATTTGAATACATACTTGTATAAAGCTGATAATATACTTTGCTGCACGTTATTTAAAAAAAAAAAATTACAACATATATACGCTTTTACATAAACACCACTTATGTAAATACACTGTAGTGTTTAGCTTGATTTTAAAAAGCAAACTATTCAAACGAATGCAAGTTTCCGTATTTTAATTTATAAAGCTTGATACGTCGTCAATTTTTCAAGTCGGTAACAAAAATTTTGGTATTTAACAATCAGATAGATCGAAGCTGTCAAGTACTAATTGTTACGAATGTTTTACGCCATTTGCACTTTAATTGATTCGACGAGAAGTTAGCCTAACAAGGCTGCTGCGACATTATAAGTTTTAATTGTCGCTAGAGCTAGACGGATTTTAATTGATAAATCGAACGACAAACATTTAATAGATTTTATGTTAAAAATGCTGTCTGTTAATTTGGTTACGCATAGTTGATTTTGAATTTAATACTGTTTCATATATGTATGTAGATTGAACGATGTGTGAAATCAGATTTGATTTCCTGATTTCCAGTTGTTTGTAAAACGTGATTGGACTGTATTGCATTTATTTTTTTAAGTGCATGAAATCGGGAAATAAAACGTCAAAACTTCAAATTTACATCATATGCCACTTTATCTATGATATATACAATAAAATATTGTGTATGTATGTATAATAAAACTGTTTTGATCGATATCCAAATTTATGTGTTTCTTTTGTTGGAAAACTTTTTAAGAAATAATCTTTGAAATTATCGACCCAATTAGTTTAACATTTTGAGCAGATTTTTCAGATAATAGTGGAGAACTAAAATTATTTTTGTAATCATTAATTCCAGAAAGTAATCTGAATTATTGCACAGCCTCGACCTTTCTCGAGCGATAGCTAAGATCGAATATCTAGTTTCATGTTTTCTGTGACCTGTCAATTTTGTTATATAAATAATAACCGAAAACTTCAGTGTTGTGTAAAGACGCTTGCCAAAGTTTAATATTAAATCCCTAATTTAGCTTAAGTTATTGTAATTAAAATATTCATTGTAGCATGTTTCTTGTTGACATTCTTTTCTACATTTGTGTATATATCAAATTCTCTAAATATTGCTAGGATGGACGTTAGTTGACTCAGAAATTGCAAAATATTAATTAAAATCCATATCGGGTACCATGTTAAAGTTTGTCTAGAATTATAAGAATTTTATGGACTTCCAAAGTTAATTCGTTTTACAGCCCTGCTGTCAATTTTATTGTACAGCTGGAGAGAGGGGCGAACTCAGGTACAGTAAACATCGGCTTTCTCCTGACAGGCTCTTTACCTGTACAATAGAATTGACGACATGACTGTAAAACGAATTAACGTTGGGAGTCCATAAAATTCTTATAATTCTGGACAAACTTTAAGACAATTTCTGTCTTTTAATAAATCTATCAGATACAAGTAATAAGGAACATTTTTTTGCTTAGTTGAAAAAAATCTCGTTGCAACGAATCATAAGGCAGTTTTTAGTACCACTTAAATTTTTTGGTGTGTGTATTGTGTCAGCCCCTCTAATAAAAACCTGAAAAATTTCAATTAAATAAATTTGTCAAAAATAATCTGAAAGGAAAAGTTGGCTCTTATTAACTCATATTTTATTAGTGGATGTATAATCCATAGAATACAAAAAATTCGATAAACAATATAAAAAAATATACACAGGGTGTCTTAAGTAAAACTTAAGATTATTTTCTAGTAATCTGTCTTAAAAAAAAAAAACACAAAAGTTTGACTATCAATAACGTGCGATCAACAAAAATCTAGAGAAAGATTTTTGTTGATCGTACTATTTAAAATGAATTAAAGGTACTGTTTCCAATTAATTTTAAGCGTTGTTGAACAACTGTCGAAAAACTGCTACACCACATAACGTTCGCCGACGAGCTTGAACACAAAACCAGAACTCAGCTTTATATTTATGTAACAAACCCTATTGAGTTTTGGAAACATTTCTGTCTGTTTTTTTGTGAAATGAAACTCATTTTAATTGCTCATCACGAAACATCACAACTGTGTCCATTATTTGCAAAGTTGCTAAACATCATTTGTTGTACATATCAATAATTGTTTTTCGCGACCGTGACTATTTTGTTGCAGTTTTCTAAAAATATCCAAACCTTTGTTTTAAGTACGTTTTGTATATCGCAATTTTAGATCAAACTTTTTTAACAAAGAGCAGTATCTACGTCATTGTTATGAAACTTAACTAAATGTAGGGTGTTTACAGCTGTCTCTATATTTCGTGCGAATGTTTCTTTTTAATAGTTTGTAATCATTTTTAAACAAATTTTGGTAAGATTTCTCATCAGATATTTTAAAAAATCAATATCTGAATTATGTATTTATGGAAATTATGGAAATTTCGTACCGCTGTAAAAGAAGATACAGTAAAAGCAGCTTCTTCGACACAAACATGGCTTCCGTTTAAATTACGTGATTGCATGATTTTAAAGAAATTAAAAAATGCATACAAGAGATCAAATATTTATTCAGTGTTTTCATAAATGTCCAATTTATAAATGCTGCGGATTTGCCACTTCTTAGTAATGGTTGACATTTTTAAAAACTTCAATTACATGGTTAATATGTGATATATCAGAATAATTATGATATTTAAACTTTGTTGTCATTATAACATGTGATTCTTTAAATTTCGGATCTTGTTGGTTGGCTTTAGAATAAAAAGTTATGTCGTTGATAACACCAGTTTTCAACGTGATCACTTTTTTAGGTTAGATATGGTGGTGTATGCACCTCTCATGCGCCTACGTTTTTAAACTACCAGCTTACCTAGATTAGAAATAGATTTGAAGAATCGCACGTTATTTAAAGGTGGAACAAATTAGTACTCATTTGGATGTTTCAATCATATATGAAAGCCCTGAAGCTAGCCACTTAGGGAAAATACTCTTCTTTGAGAAATATTTGGACGTGTTAAAGATGACTGCGTTTTAGGAAGAGATTTAAATAATTTAGTAGATGCTAGGAAATTCTTCCAGAACCGATGACGTCATCTCAGTTTGCTAAGTAAATATCACTCGAAATGGATAGCGCCACATTTTCTGACTTACCTGTGGTTTAAAATTTTGCTTATCCTAAAAATTAAGTTTGCACAATTAAATTTTACAATTTTTCTAAAAAACAATGCAATGGAATTCTTTATTTATAACCCCCAGAAGGTGATGACGTTTGCAGAAAAAATAATTAAATAATTGGATATTAAAAATTTTAGCCTCGGATGCGGTATTGCTGTGAAATGGGGAAAGTTCAGTGTAAACAACTTTGCAAATTTTTATGCATAGAAAAAATAGTGTAGGAATCCATGTTTTTAGAGCTGGATAAATCTTTTATGTTAAGACTAGTTAGTGTTTTTAATGACTGCTATATTCTTAAAACTGCAGTTCTTTGAAAAACTTATTCTAAAGTCAGTTTCTAGTATTAGGGTAATAATGTTTTACGAAGCAAAAATTTGTACGAACGTAAATTTGTTTGTTGTGTTGATAGTTCCTCGAATATATAGAAAGTAATCACTGTGGGTTAAGTGAATGTGAACCATAATATCATATTCTACAAACACTTTACTAATGGGGATGCCATCATTTTTTTTTTTCAAAAGTAAATTGACGAACTAGTGGTTACTACCTGAAAACTTTTCTTGTGCGTCGGTGGGTTTGTGCTTTTACATTTCGGTGGGAAGGGATAATTCTGTTCAAATAATGGTTACAACATCCGAAAAAAATTTATTTCATTAATTAAAATTAGTTGTAAACACAAATTTTCGATGTTGAATTAATGTAGGTTGTCGATCACACTGACTCAATATGTTGAACAGACGAATTTGGCCGTATACATTTGTTTGTCTCTAGCGACAATAAATTGAAATGATTACTTTTTCTTAATTAGAAACAAATATTGAGCCTATTTACCCTGAATAAATGCTTTAATATTTATTCTATAACTGTGAAAAAAATAACTGCGTCAATATTTGTTCGTCAAAAACGACGTACTTTAATGATGATTTTTTTTCACGTTGCTCAAAACAACATATTAAAAAATGTACTTTCGTGTACTGCCTGAAGTGTGTTACATTATTAACTAATTTTTTCACAGTTATTGTTGTAAGGTAAGAAATCACAAAACGAAATAAGTTGTTAAAAATTAATGATTGGTGCTTTATTTAAAAAGTGAATAACAGGATCCAATCGTTATTTGTCAATGAATACAAATCAATTCTATAAAATTATTTTATTTTTCAAATTTAATTGTACGAAAGATTTTGTGTGCTTCTTGTTCGCGAAACGTTTTGGCGTTCCCACCAAAAAACTTCAGTCTCCTGTACTAAAGCACCAGTTCACAGATACTGAAAATTGAACAACAACATCCAATTCAGCATTTTCCAAGTCTGTTGTGTCGCGGAATATTTTACAATTTCTACATATTTACGGAATGTTTACATTAAATTTATTGTTTTTGGTATTAATTTTCGTAGAGTTATCTATGCCTGAAAAAAATAATGTGAAATTTATATAACTCACATTTTATCTTTACTTTCCGCTCAGCAGTTTGGAAAAGGCTTTTTAAACTATCCTAATACATGTAATTTGACAAGTTACGAAAATTCGAAAAAATCACACCACATTAAGAAATATGTCATGTATTTTCAATATTACTTTGAAAAATTAAAGAAAAGAATGTTTTTTAATTGTTTGATTAGCTGATAAGAATTATTATTTTAGGCGTGGTTTTCTAATGTAAATAATTAAAATTTATTAAAAAATATAATTTACTATTCTTGTGCAAAAAGTTGATGAGTCAGGTAAAATAATAAATTTTGACCATGATATCTGATTCATTTTAACACTCGCGAAGTTGTAGTTGATTTTGGCTTTGCATTTTAATTTTTAATAAATTGCATGTGGAATATATTTGATAAAAAAATACAAATCAATATAAACGTCCAGATATGTCAAAAATCGTTTTACGTGAGCTAATTTTTAAGTCAAACTTGAAAAATTTCAGTGGGCAGTGATTACGTCATCGATATATGTATATTTTTAATGACGATCGGGTACAAAATTTTCTGTAGCTAACCAAAGTAATAAATGTGATTAAAAAGGTTCAAAAGTTTAAGAAAATTTAGATTTGTTCTTCGATCAAATCTTGTGTTCCACACAACTTGAGAATTTTTGTTTGGTTGGTACATCAAAGTCACCATTTCATTGACATCGAGCAAAAAACAAAGAGTGATTATTATTATTGGACGTGCACCATGTATGCATGATGATTTTATATAGAGTACCTTAAAGTGAATATTTAAAGAAAAAGAAGGGGTTGTCATCAAAAGAATAATTGTTGAATATATTATAAATTTTCACATGTTTCTAGGGAGAAAAAGTATTTTACATATCTGTATGGTTCGTTTTTGTCAGTGAAATTATTGATAACATCATAGCGTGGACAAGAATTAGAAATTTTTCAAATTCAGAAAAATTAAATTTGCAAATATTTATTAATAACTGCCCCCTCTCCCCTATAACTTTGGAACCGTTGGAGGTACAGGTTTCGATTTTAAAACTTGTGAATGTGAATCAAATGACGTGATTGACGTCACAGTGATGCGCTGTAACCTTGAAATGTCAAAACTGTGACATAGATGGGTAAAAAATTGTATGTACATAGATCCCTATTTCGACAGTTTATTTCGTTCTACCATACGTGATACCAAAATTAAAAAAAAATCGTCGCTGCAGAATAAAAGAAATACAAATATTGAATACTTTAAAAAATGTTATTTTAATAAATGCTGGATGTCAACTCTTCGGACCTCTAAATCACTTTTATTTTTGATTCTGTTTGAAGTTCTCATATTTTAACTTTGTTGGTCTTCACTTGATTCGAGTTCTTGTTTTCATTATTAATTTACTCTTTATTGAATATTTGTTGTTAACAGATCGATCTACTACACATCCTGATGTGGCCCCGGGTAACCTTAGAACCGTCTAGGAAAGGAAAATTTCCAGTTTTATTTTACGTCACGGCCAGTTTATAAATAAATAAATCCCCGCTTTATTTTGAAGACTCCTGAACGAAATACACCATTGAAAATGCGTCACTGTCGCTTTTCATTGGAGTTTCATCTAGATAATCCTCAGTCCTCAGCAGTTTTTGTTATGGCTTCCTCCTACATCTGCTTCCAAATGTTTATTCGATTGTTCATTCAATTGAAACATTCGACAGATTTTACAAAAGTGTGTTAACTAATTCAGGTCGTCCAATGCTGACATGGCTCGTATGTCCTCCGTTGTTTATCGATGTTGTTAGACGTGTACGTAATGAACTGTTATGTGCATTTTGTGATCGCCTCGAGGCAAGGGTGTAATTGCGGCTGTCAGACCTTGATGGACAGAAAAAGTTGAAGAGGCCGGTTTGCATGCGTTTAGTTCCTTCCTGCAAAAAAAAAACAGCAACTAAATGAAAGTATCTTTTAATTTTGTGTCATCAACAAACTGCACAGCTGTGATTATTATCGGTTTTATTTAATCATCGAACCGCAAATTTTGCAACGCTGCGATTGTTTCAAATGAAATTTATTTTTCAGGGGAGAATTTTGTTTTGACGGTGTAGTTCATAAGGACAATGATATTGATTAGGCCCTTAAATCAAATGGGGTTTCCGAGGAAGCACAAATTAACCCTTTAGGCTACAAAAGGGTAGTAAATGGTACATTAATTCTGGCGAACGATGTATAAAACTTTTCAGAGTTTATTGGTGTCCAATTTATTACATTCGTAACATCTTTGGGGGACCCTGTCAGCCTATAAAATCGATTATCGCATACCTACTGGCTGCCGTTTTAATAATAAAAAGCCACATAAAAGTGACAGCCATTCGTAACATAATGTTAAGTGCAGCCGTATTCTGTGATGCGTTAATCCATTTAATGTGAAGCTCAACTTTTTACTAGCAGGGAATTACCTTTTAGATATGCATTATGTGCTATTAGTAAATGTATTATCGTTAATGATATTATGACTGGTTTTTTGTTATTCAAGTTGTTCCGCTTGGTTTTCTTGCATCCGATTAAACTGCTTTTTTGTAAAGTTTTTTCCAATTATGTGCTTCTTCACTAAAAGAATAACTGTATTATTACGTTTGGCTGTTACTTTCTTTGTCAGTGCATTTTCTGATTGTAATATCTCCATTATTAACAGACTTATCGGTATGAAATTGTAACCATGATCTGTCCACAATTTACTCTAAATATTGATACGGTAGTTTTTTTTGTTTAATTTAATAAATTAAAAATAAGAATCATAATACTAACAACTCAGTTTTTATTTTGATCATACTACTTATAGAAGAAGCCTTTATCAGTTTGGGAAAGAAAGGATAATCAATGTATGACCTAAAGATCTGGAATTCTTGTGTATTTATTTTTGTTTTTCTCAGTTGTTTGTTTATTACTTTTTAAAATGGAATTTCCATTAAGTGTACACGCTTGTTTGTTTTTTTTTTTTAACAGAAACAAGTCTGATTGTGAAAATAAAATTAAAATTCCATTTAACCCTAACACAAAAGCGGTGGCTGTGACTCGATGTGTACGGAATGTTCTTTATTCCGCCGTCTAAAAAAGTTAGATTTTCATGTGATTTTTTTAATTCTTATGTATATTTGGCGTTGAGTTAAAACTCAGAGAACGCAGAGGCGTGATTCCGAAAAGAATGTTTATAAAGGTTCCTTTAAATTTACATTGTTTTAATTTTTTTCAATTGAGTACTGAAATTAAAAACATTAGCGTTGCATTTTTAAATGTATATTTCGATAATCGTAAAAAGTTTTTAAGAATGTTAGTATGTAAATGTGTTCTTTTTGTGCATCCCTAACAAATGATTTGAATCTTGAAAATTACGACAACCAAAGTGAAATTATTTTCACAAAAAGAACAAGCAAAAGTGATTGATAGAACTGGCGGAATTTATCATGCGAATAAAATCAGTGAGTTTTTAGCAACTGAGTTCTGGTGGTTTGCATAAATACTTAGTCCTAGGACTGCTTTTAGCCCAGTCTACGCATTGTTGTTACACTGTTATTTTTTATAAACAATAATTGAACAGATATGTGTTTACAATTTTTGCTAAATACACTCATCAGTAAAAAATTCTTCTATTTTTTTATCACAGTTAATTTTAGAGGTACGTGATAAAATCGAAATAAGATTTTTTTAATGGTAATAATATTGCGAAAAACATTAAAAATGGTTTTAAAACAATAAAAATTTGGAATTGTCGAATTTGCAAGAGTCGGAATTCGAACTTAAATCTACCTGCCAACATGCTCTGTTAGGTTTAAATCCTGACTTCTTCTCAATCATATCAAATACTGATGATTATAGAGTAAGTAAATCTGTATTGACTGTGAAACGAGTTTGAATTTATCTTTAATAGCTCGAGTGAAAACGTCCATTTATGAATCTTTAGTCAGTTATGGACCTGTTGGTGATCTTTTACTATTCTTTAATTGGTACTCCACGAATCTTTTATCTTATACTGTTCGTTTACTTCCTCGAATTTCTTTCGGCTGATTTTTTACTTCCACTGCAGTTGTATTTCCGATAAGAAAAACGCTCAAAATAAAAAAAATTGGTCTAAAGTTATTTAAACAGAACCTCGCTCCTAAAGTACAAGTGAACACATGTATAGATTTTTCGAAAAATTATAAAATTCAATTTTGCGGATTTTACTCTTGCTTATCAAAACCCTTATACTTAATTTAAAAGAAAAATTCCTTGCATCTCATTAAAATAAAGATCTGTGGGGACTGTTAAAGTACAGATAAAGAAGCATGCTAGGTCTATGTTTCAAGTGAATTTCTCCATAACAAAATTTTGTTATCAACATTTTAGCAAGGACATTTATTCATTTTGAACATGCACAGTGTAATACTAATAATAACTTTACTGTATATTGAAATTTTCTTGAAAGTGGGGTGAGCCATTCTTGATTTGATCAATAAAATCCCAAAATTCTGGATCTCCAAGGTAGAAACTCATCACGGATTTACAAACTATAAATGTATGTCATTTTATAAAATATAAATAACATTTACTAATGTAAAATTTGGAGATGATGTTGTATCATTGGTAGTGGAGATGATCAGACACATTTTGGTTACCGTTTTACCGTCGACACGGTATTCTTAACATTATAAGATATAAAATGTAATAACAGTTTCGAAGATTATCTGTCTAGAAAAATCGATACAGATAGACAGACAGAGAGACGGAAACAGAGTTTATCACGAGAATTACTCCCAAAATTATTGGTACTAAAAACTTTGCTTAACACACTACCACTTAACGCTGCCTAACCTCAACAAAGTATAAATAAATCGTCATGTTCTGAACGACTCCGTACTACCTTGCGCAATGTACCATCAAAATATACAACAATGTTTTCTTGGCAAAACTATTTTGGTGGTAATTTTCGAAGAAATTCGGTGACGTGTATATGGATCATGAAACGTCGAGAAAACATGAAAGTAGCCAGTCACCCGCTGGACCCTATTACTAATACTCTCTTAGCTGTCGCTAGGGAAGTTAAAAGTGATCATCATGAGCATGGACACCTCGTTAAACTTTATTATTGTGTTTTCCTGATACATTTTGACACAAGTCGCATGTAAACAGTGTTGAACTAAATCCTGAATAAACGCATGATAATAAAAACCGTAAAAACTCGTCGGATCGACCTCTTCCATGGATTTTTAAATGTATAGTTCGACTAAAGACTAGGGATGTCCCATAAGTAAAAAGACAGATTTCAAATTATTCTAAATTTATTCGATTAATGAATATTAGTTAACTAGAACCCAACAAACTAAGCAGTTTTATCGTTGCTTCCCGGGCCTAAGCTAAGGAAGTATTTTAATAGGATTCATACGGCGAATACCTGTTTTCATTTTTTCTCGATGTTTCATAATCTCCAAAATATGAAAAAATAGATCCCCGTTTCCGTTTGTCTGTCTCTCGTTTGTCTGTGTGTCGTCTGTGTCCATTTTTATTGAATACTATCGGACCGATTGTCGTCAAAATTTTATATGTAGGTTAGGAATATCGTGTAGATGGTAAAACGCTAAGCTGAATTTTTGTAACCATCCCTACCAACAATTTGTTCCGTCACCTCTAAATTTTGTTTGAAAAATGCCATTTAAATATAAGAGAGAGAGAGAGAGAGAGAGAGCGGGCTACTAACGCGAAGGTCACGATTTCGATCCCCTCATGGGCCACTGTTTTTACCTCGCGAGCGCAAGAGGAGGAAGTATTGCAATGTCGTTCATCGGACCATTGGCTACTGTCATGTTTAATCACGGTTCATGACCCCTAAACTACGAAAAAATAGGTCTCCCATTTCCGTCTTATCTGCTTGTCTGTCGCTTGTCTGTGTCGATTTTCATTACGGACCGATTGTTGTTAAATTTTATAGTAAATATGTTCGGAATATCGTCACATCCTCACCAACACTTTCCAACATATTCCCATACTCGTATAAGAATCCCCTTTGAGTCTCTTCCCCCCCATTCTCTACTTTTCCGTTTTCTCGATCTTTCATGACTCCTAGAGAACGAAGAAATAAATAGGTCTCCCGTTTCTGTTTGTCTGACTGCCATCTGTCCCGATTTTTTTAATTTTTTGAAGACGCGACATTTGTTAGAGTGTACTTCAAAGGCGAGTGAAGTTCTGTCTAATTAACCTTAGACCAATTTTTTTTCTTACACTGCGATTGGTATTATCACTGGATTTGTTTGATTGTATTTCAGGAGCGAGGGAAATTATGTCTAATAATGTGAAACCAGGTTTTTATAGTATCTTTGGTAGTTATGGAAATAGGACGGTGTGTTATTTTTTATAAGTAACTTCTCTCGTTTCCTCAAATCGTCTAATAATGCGGCAAACTGCGGTTCTTCTCGTTCGATCTTTTGTAAAATCTCTGACTATTTAAAATTTGTTAACTTTTTATAGTGATTTATGACACGTTATGAAGATACTTCATATTCGTCTCGTTTCATTGTTAAAACGTTTATTCCTTGAACAAAGTTCATACTAGGCGACGGTTAAAATACAACAAAACGCAAAGTGACATTAAATCCCTATTGTTTTCGTCTCCCGCAATTAATTAAATCGTGTTTCTTTACTAATTACTGACTCTTTACAACCCTTATGTCTGAGTGCTTACAACATAGCGTTGTATTGTTGTGTTGTATTTTAACTAAAATAATATCTGCTGAATGGATTAATTTTTTTGGCGGTACATGTAATAACTCACTTTGGTTGTTGAATTAATAATCACCTGTTTCAATTTGCTTAAAAGATTTTTAATAATTATCAACTAAATTAAGTTGTTATGTCTTGGATGAAATACCTGCATGTACCCTTAGCCGTAGAAATTCGTTTCTTTTCCACTTAATAATAAAGTAGGCTTATGCTTTGTACCACTCAGCGACGTCTGCTCCATAGAAGCAACGAAAGCCCTATTTCCTATTACTCGAAATTTCGAATTCTTTAGATTAAATTTCATGTAAGCATAACTGTAGTAGTTCCATAAATCTAATTTGGAAAAAGACTCCTACTTGATGTTATTTCTGCCTAGTCATCTAGCCATATGTTAGACTAGCCGACCCCGTGAACTTCGTTTCACCTACAATTTAATTTTGAATCTGCAAAACCGAATATGTTTCATTATACTTTTGGTGCGAAGGAAGTTCTGTCGAAACAACGTTCGATCAATTTTTTGACAATGGTTGATATAAATAAAACTCAGTAGATGGTCATACTCGAAATACGAAGTATCTACTCGAATATCATATCAAAATATTTCTAGTTTTTCTAGATGATCCTAATACTTCAGTAGGTAACAGTTGATGCTCAAGTATCATCTCGATACAACAAAAAAGGAAAACAGTGACAGTGTTCAACCATCAAGGCAAAAATCGAGTTACCAAAATATAAGTTAGTATGGGGTAGACACCTTGAGATGGGAATCTCTATGGCCAGTGATAGAAAAAACGCACTGCACAATTTATGCATAAATAAAAGTTAATTATCTGAAAAGTTTTCGATATTCCCGCTTCTAATGTGTTTTTCAAACTGAATGCACCTTTTGACGACGTTCCACTTTCATGAAAGTCACCATGTTTAGTTAAAATTCACTGTTACAACGATCCTACTCGTTTTCTAAGCTGCTTTACAGACAGCTCAGTTATTTGCCACGCCGATGCTCATTTTTAGATTAAATGCTCACAAAACGCGTAGATGTTCAGTTTGTGTCCGGGGAGATACAATGTTTCCAAGTAGGTACTCAGTACATAGAGTAGATGCTCAGGTATATGTATAAGAGTAATAGCGAAGTAGGTACTTCGTAAGTACTTCGAATATGAGTGTCTACTCAGTTTTATTCATACCACCCAATGTCTCGCTTCAATGTTTGATTATGAGCACAACGCTGATCAACTTCCCTATCCGAATTACCCATGAAATAAATCATTGCGATTTGCACCTGAGGTAGTTCGTCGCACATTTGATTGACTTCGTGGACCTATGTGAGCTTGTCGTCTTCTCGGCATTTTAATGAACTTCATAAAACGACACAGAATTATTTTCACAGTCAATCAAATCTGTAAATTTTGTCTTGAGAATTTTAAAATATTGAAAACCTCAAATTAAATCCTCGAATAACGTAAAGTTTGAGGTTTTGTCGAAAACAACAAAGTGAATATAGGTAAATAGAATGGCAGATCAAAATTAGTAAGGAAGTTTCGCAATATGTAACTAAATTCACTTTAACCAAGACTTTTCTTAAAATAAACGACGTTTTCTTTACGAAAAAACAAAGAACGATTTGAAATGCAATATACTATTTCACAATCGCATGGAAGAATTAGTTTTGTATGACACGTCAGACGACAGGTCCGTCAGGAACGCCAACTATTGAAATTAATTCGAAGTGGCGATTCCCATACAAAATTTTTAGAATTTTTTGATTTTTTAGCTGTTCTTTATAGTTTTCCCTATTTTTTTTATTTATGAACCATCCCCGTAATATAAAAAATTCTTCAAATCGGTCAAGCCGTTTTTGAATCTTAGCGAGACTAACAGGAACAGCAATTGACTTTATATAGACGATTAAAAAATGGGGGTTGGTGGTAGAAAGGTGAAAATTTGGAGTTATGTGTATTTTTTGATGCCAAATCTTAAAAAAATAAAAATAAAAAATTTTGTCCAAAAAATAGATAAACATTTTTTAGGGTGGGCCACCCTTATCACTTAGGGGTTTAAAAAATAGTTTACAACCTATTCTCAGACCTACCGAATATACATAAAAAATTTCATACAAATCGGTGAACCCGTTTCGGAGGAGTTCGGTTACAAACACTGTGACGCGAGAATTTTATACATAATGCATTATTACTTTAGAACGAATTTCATTACCATAAAAATGGTTATACTGAATCGACCTTAAAAGATAGGCATATGGTGTCGCTGACTTTTCTTTAGAACTTTTATTAGAGGAGAACAATTTCGTCATATATGATTTTTACGAAACTTTAACCGTTTAAGCAGCGTAAGCAACGGAAGTTGTCCAAAGAGGAATAATTTTCCCGTTTTTCCTAATTTTTCATTGCTACTTCGCTCCTAATGATCGTAGCGTGATGTTATATAGCCTATATGTAGATTAGGGTGATTCAAAAAAAAAAATAATTTTTTTTTCGTGTCAAAGAGGTTCAAAAGTTTCTTTTCAACGTAAAAAAATACCAGTTAAAAGTTGAGGTCTTAATATTAATATTAAGACCGTCCGCATCGCGTTTTTCTATTTCCCATAAGAATAACATGGGAAAATTTTTGTTTGCACCTTCTGATTTTTATTGCTAGCCCGTCGTGTGTCGTGAAAAAAATTCAATCACATATTTTTATAGAGAATTGAACGCTCTACAAAAAGTGTCTCCTATGATTTTGCGAGAAACCTGACTATGATTTTTTAACCCACTGATGCTGAAAATGTTCGGAAAGAGTTTTACTGGCCTTATTATAGCATAAAATTATAAACAATTACTGTTTAAAAAACTAAATTTAAAATGTGTATAAATTTTTGTGGTGATTTATTCCAATAAGACCATCAAATTTATTGTAATGCATCAAAAACGTCAAAATTTGGATAAATTTAACTTTAGCCTAAAATAACTCTTCAACTATCAGGTTTCTCGCACAATCATAGGAGACACTTTTTGTAGAGCGTTCAATTCTCTATAAAAATATGTGATTGAATTTTTTTCACGACACACGACGGGCTAGCAATAAAAATCAGAAGGTGCAAACAAAAATTTTCCTATGTTATTCTTATGGGAAATAGAAAAACGCGATGCGGACGGTCTTAATATTAATATTAAGAGCTCAAATTTTAACTGGTATTTTTTTACGTTGAAAAGAAACTTTTGAACCTCTTTGCACGAAAAAAAAAATTATTTTTTTTTTTTGAATCACCCTAATGTAGATACGATACATGGACTATCCAACACAAAAAGATTTTTTGAATTCGAACCAGTAGTTTCTGAGATTAGCGCATTCAATTAAACAAAAGCTTCAGCTTTATTATATAAGTATAGAAAGTATAGATTAGGATTGGTGCATTAAAATAGTACGTTATTTTGTAAATTAGACGTGTCTTGAGTTCACCGTAAAATATACAGTCAAATCATTCACAACAACAAGAATGAACGATGTTATTTCTTTAGGAAATAATTTTGATAAACTGTCTTGGAATACTTTAAAAGTTAAGATTAGATCATAAAGCAACGTAGATTTTACACAGCAAGAGGCTCCAAGAGGGCGTCATGGTTTCATTACCTCTGTCGGTGTATATTGTGTAACAAAACAAAGCGAGCGTCCTCAATTTTCGCGTAACAACATCATTGGAAGGAGAAGTATTTGCACTAATTTATCGTTTATGGAACGTATAAAACTCAGAGTTTTAAATTAATGTGCTTTATGATTGCTAAAAAATTGCGAAAATTATTTTGAAATTCAGAATTTTTTGCCTAGTTTATGGAACATTTTTCATTTAGGTCTCCTATATACACCAATAATTGTCTCCTTCTTAAAGAATTCGCTTTTTCTCTTTCTAATCTCATTTTATGTATTATCTGCGAATTTCGTGTCAGTCAACAATCAAATCTACCAGGCAAGATTGTGTTATCCAAAAAAGGTTTCGCTCTACTGCCGAAGCGTGCAAAATTTACGTTTAAAACCATCCTAGGCGCTCATAATAGGAAATGAACACCGAATTTCACTAAGCTCTAAAGTTTATTGCATAAATGAAGTCTTTGTGTATGTGCATCGAATTAGGTTAAGGAAATTAAGAAATGTCAGTTATTTAGAGATGCGTGACTAATACAAACCTGAATTTCTTTCATTCGAATGCTGTATATAATCGGATTCACCAGCATCTTGAGAATAACGAGCATATTTTCCAACATCCTTAAGGACATAACTTCAACTAGATAGTTTTCAATCAAGCTTTCAAGTTCGGAACCGTGGATATAACAGTCTTCTTTACACATCAGAACAAATATGAGGAGAGCTGGCATCCAGCCTATTACACATGAGCCCAAAATGAGTAAAGTTGTGTATATTGCTCGAATGTTTCCTTCGAGTTGTTTTTGCTCTCTGTTTGTTTTACTGCTAGGGCAATGTTTTATACCTCTCCCAGACCACTTCGTGCTACCGCTCCGTGATAAGTTCTTCCATACGTTTTGTTGTTTTCTTACTATAATTAATATGTGGGCGTAGCATGCAGCCATCATAAATATGGTGATGATGAAGTAAGCGGAATAACTCATTCTGAATCGAAACGTGTCTATAAACGTAGTTGTATTTTTAGCTTCCATTTCGGCTGCCTTGTCGAAAATGTCGGTCCAGTAGGTTACTTCTGCTTGAGAAGTGAATAAAAAGATTACAAATGCCGTTGGGAAAACCCAAAGTAGGATTGTTACTGTTGTCACTTTTCGTCGGGTCACAATGGAATTGTAGTGCAGGGGTTTCAATATTCCGATGTAGTGGTTTAAACTGAGGGCCAATAAGTGGGTTACCGTCACGAGAATTCCGCTGAGTTTCATCATTTCCATAATAATCTCCAGCCATCAGAGGTTTATACCTATATAAGGTAGATAGGTGTTGATGAAGAGCGTTACTGCAAATATTGATGAGCTTAGTGCATCTGCAGCAGCTAAGCTAATGCTCATTTTTAAAATGGGAGTCATGGGTCGTCTTACCCAGTGAACACTTGCAAATACCACCACGTTCACGATCATAGCTATGACGGCTGTTATTACTAATATCGCAATGAAGACATTCAAAATCACGTGCGGATAGTCATCTTGATTTTCAACAAAACTGTTGTTTGGATGAGACGTGTTCAAGTAAGAAGTGTGGTTTTCCATTTTTTGTTAATCTGGAACAAAGAAGGATTATTTAGACAACAGTTTTGTACTAATGAAGTGTAATTCAATACGGAATAGTTTAGATCTGTCTTGCCAATTTTGTACGTCGTTAGGTAAATGTTAAGATTTTTATAGTGTGATTTCTCATGCATCATGTATTCTGGAAGTTCGAAGCTGTTTTCTGTAACGTTTCGTCGCCCTTAATAACATGTCATTTCTGGACCACATTTTCTTATGAAATATTGAATGCTGATAAGTTGATGTATCACATAAATTTTTTTAGGACGTTAAATTCCAGCGTTCTCCAAGGAATATCACCCCTGCCGGAGTATGCAGATCCTTACCATAAGAGGTAAGTATATTTCTTTAAAATTTATGCTATACTCTACTTTCAGTTTGTTTTGAGGACACTAATTACTAATTCGTTTGATATGATTGTGTACTGCAGTAGTCCTTCAGACGACATTTTTTGTTATTACTTTTTTCAGCATAAAAATTTAATTTCCTCTTTCATGACAGAGTATTTTATATTAAAAGATATTTTTTGTTATAGACCTATGACTTTGGGGGAAATTGGTTGTTTCCTGAGCCATTATAATATCTGGAAAGACGTAAGAAAAACTAAATCCACATAAACGAAGTTATTGTAATTAGTTTCCTTTCCGTAGATTGTTCGTAAAGGATACGAAACCACTCTTGTTTTGGAAGACGATATTAGGTTTGAGCCATTTTTCAGGAGTAAAGTACTGAATGTAATGGTGGAAGTAAAACGTGTTTCCGGATGGGATTTAGTGTAAGTAACATTGACATTTTAATGAAAGTTCAGTATTTTAATTTCTTGTTTTTTTTTTTAAATCGATTTATTGATTCCGCTTTTTTTATGCGAATAATACATAATTTATTCAATAGGTTTTTGTTGGTATTATTTAACGATACTTTCATATTTTTATATCAGTTGATGTTATTAAGCAGTGATTTTGGAGATAATTAGTTAATCAATAATACAATTTTTTTCACAACGTACATATGTCATCAACGATTTTTTTTAATACTAATCTCAACTTTTTCTTTAGAATTCTGATAGACTTTTTAGTAGTAGTGTCAATTTCACTGTTGACGTAAGCATCATATGTAACTAGAGCAGAAACTTAAAAAATCACCCAATATTGACTTAAATATTTGAAGCTTTTAATTTTGCTCGATTTGCGATGCGCAAAATGTCCGAAGTATTTATATTTAAAATATCTTAAAGGCATTACACAAAATGTCAAATCGATTTCTTATTATTATTATTATATAATGTAGATAACCTTCCAGGTGAGAAAATTTGTATAGTAGAGAACGTTTTAATTTTATTTCATGTCTCAGATAATATAAATTTTCACGCATCGTTTTTACAATGGTTTGTAAGATCTGAAGGAGATTAATTTTTCGTGCTTGACATTCGATTAGCACGTACATGTTGCATACTTTACATTAGGTATGTCAGATTTCATTTAACAAGCAACAGCTCGCTTATTATTAGTGATGAGAATCGCGTATGCGTTGACAGTTACGTTTAATTACGGGGGAATAACGTGCATCAATAGAGATCAAAATTGTGCCAGTAATCGGTTTCGCTCTAACAGTCCACCGCTCCAGATTTATCAATGTCATAAGGTCATAACATATGTGCTTGTACATAGTATATTATAGCTGCGTGCGACTGTTTGAACAAGGTGTATTCCATGGGCTTTATTGTACAAAGTTATGTTACTTTTAATCTTAAAAATTTAAGTGTATTATTAAAAATATATATAAAGTAAATATTTATTATTCTTTATTTGTTACATAATATCAACTTTTAATAAGTTTTATTTAATACTTATTTATTTGGATAATTATTTTATTCAGTTTTTTCCGAATAGGCGGTTACTTATTAAAGATTAAGGCGAGTTGTTGTCCGTTTGATATATATAATGTGTAATGCTTAAAGGTAAAGTACAGGGAGATCGAAAAAGAAATTAGTCAAAGCTGGGCATGCACGACAAGCCGTTTGTCGTAATTTAAATTTTTTTATGAAATGTCAAATTGACAGTTTAAAATTAGAATTATGACACCTACTTTTAAAACACAAAATTTTCCACAAATTCTTGAAAACAAGCCATATACGAATATTGTCATTCACCGTTTTCCAATTTTGTCCCATTTCTGATGTAAGATTCTAACAAAAAAGCTTTAATTTCGTTTGATAACATTGCAAATGACTTTTGCCAACGTGACGGTTAATAAAAAATTATTTTAAACTAAGACAAACGGCTTTTCGTGCATGGCCAACTCTAACTAATTTCTTTTTCGATCTCTCTCTATTTTATGTAGATATATACTGCAATACTTGTGTCATTTTGTTCACACCACTCCTAATTTTTGAATCCGTTTTAGAATTTATCGTCGGAATCTTTGCCATCTCTCGCCTGTTCGTGCTAAAATTTTATTTTTATTTTCTGTAATTTGTTTGAATATAAAAACTGTTATACAGGTGTTCTAAAAATGACGGGAAAGCTCCATAGTATATTGTTACGAAGGCTCTGAAGAATTCGAGAAAATGATTAAAATCCCTGGACCAAATTTTTTAAAATATTAAACTTCAAAGCTGAAGAATTAACTTTGTAATTCTGATGTTTTAATGTGAATTTAGTTGATAGTCTAAAATTTAGACTATCAACTAAATTCTCTAAAGTTTCTATAAATATTGTCAAAAATAACACCTGTCAAGAGTAAAAAATGACGTTGTGGGTCGTATTCTAGCAAATTGTTATTAAATTATTAGTAACTAATTATTTTTTAACTGTATCTAGACATGTAAAATAAATCAGAATTGCAAAGTCAATTCTCCAACTTTGAAGTTTAATATTTTCAATAGTGTGGTGTAGTGTAATCATTTTTTTCGAATTCTTTAGAGCCTTCTTAACAACCATCCAGTTTTTGCGTAATTTTTGGAACATTGTATAACGATATACATTTCATTAAAAATTATTAAATTATTACAAAAATTATAGGTGTTTGTAAAATACTCGGTTGAGGTTTTACCCGTGAAACAGCAAACATTCGTATAATATTATTGTTTGGAATGTATAATCGGGCCCAGAAAATCTCAGACATCAATGCCATCGCATTCTTACAAAGTGTAAAACACCTTTAAGTATTAACATTACGGACATGCACTGGATGCAATATGATGCATATTCTAAACTTCAAACATACATCAAAGTGACAATAAGGCACAGATTACATCAAAATTTTTAAAATTACAGAAAAAATTTGTGTTTAGTACTTTCATAGAAATAGCACTAAACATTGTTAACCTTGATAATGTGATTTTTATTATGTTAATGTCTTTATATGTAGGGGAACGAGGGGCTTGTTGTAGTAGTTTTTAGAAAAACGAATATAATTTGGTATCAATTGGCTGTTAAAAGTATCTGTCGGTAGTCTTACTATTCCCCTATTGGACTGAACAGGCAAAAGGTCAAAATTGCTCTTATTCACTTCACACCATACATTTTGTTAAAAAAAGTGCATTGTTCCAAGTTGCCCCGTGTTTAGGGCTAGTTGTAACATATTTAGACTTTATTTTTCAAAAATCAACACAACACTTCATTATATATTATATTTATTAGTAAAACTGAAGTAAATTTTTAGAAAAAGGGTCAACATTAAAGATTTAAGTTTTGTTTTTCTTTTTCTTAAAATACCTATCTGGAAAGCGATACATGGCACAGGCCAAAATTTTGGCTCGCTTTTCGTATGGTACAATTATTTTCTAAAACGTCAAGACAAAACAAATTACATCATCTGAGATTACAACCAATTGTAATATGGTACTAATGGTACGAGATTTGTAGAAGCGAAATTGGGATAAGTTGTAACATGTTAAAACTTGCCCCAAGATATTGTTACAGCTTACCCCGCAGCATAATTTTCTACAGTTAATTACATTTCCACAAAATTATGTCGCTCAGCGTCAAAATATGTAAGGAATATCAAAGCTGAGTAATTTTTGAACTACATGTAAACCTAAAAATAAATAAATTAATGTCAGATAGAAAAACCAAATTTTACTGAAGCAACATTTTATATTACTTATTGGCCAAAATGTAACACGTGCACACATCCACTTACTGCCATAGCTGACAGAACAGTGGTTGTGATGACACGATGTCATATGGTGCAAGAATTAAATTCAGTAAAAAACCTGACGTCAAAGTGATTAAATTCCGGGCAAAAATTTAGTGTTACACTTACCCCTATTACAACAAACCTTTAGGTCCCCTACTCAAAAATAATGTATTGTTTCTAAGTACTCTGCGAACAAAATAAGTCATTATGAAATCGAAAACAATTTCAGAACTTTTGTTGGTGCCTAAAATTTCAATTTGACATGAGATATCCCATCATAAAATTTTAAACATGTTGCCAACCTGACAAAAAAAATCACAACATTAATAGTCACTCAATGCTATTTTAAACGAGGACATATTTGGAAAAATTAAATATTGTGTTAGGAAAAATTGATTTTTTTTCCTAACAAGAGGGGAAATAATATTTCCTAAAAAACAATGTATTTACTTTTAATTAATTTTTCCTACAAATCAATTATTATTTTGATTATAAATATTAACAGTAACGTTTTGCAATTGTGGAATAAAATACCAGGACAGGATTTAGAAGTTGAAGTTGAATTCGAACAACGAATTACGTCTGTTTCTTCTTTTTGAGCCAACAGTTTAGAAGCTACTTGAAGTTTATATCCAGCAGAATTCTTGACACATCCTTCTGCTACATTCGTCGCCTTCAATCCACTGTGTCACTTTAAATTTGTAACGTCCGTCTCTGCCTCTGCGACTATTGTAGCGGACGTTCTTCTAAAACAGTGGCCTGTGTAACTGCATTTGAGATTTGGCCACTTCAAATGTTCAGCGATCTTTCGTGCTGCCAATTTTTGCGTTTTTTTTTAAATGGGTATGTTAATAATAATAATAATTTATTTATCCAGTAGACCAATTGGTCCAGAAGAGGATAGAAATTTTACAACAATGTATAAAATATAGAAAATATAAAAAAATTTAAATACTGAATATTAAATAAAAAGATTTAAATAATTAAACAATCAAACTTACATGAAATGACATATAATTACACTTATAACTAAGGTTAAGGTATACATATGATGTGTTTTTTGCAATTTTTTATAAATGCATCCATGTTCTGGGTGAAAATGTCCAGGTCTTTATGTTTCTTACTAGTACGATTATAGATGGTAAACATATTATAAAGCGGTGACTACATGTGTTGGTTGGTTTTAGGTATTTCACAAGAAAATACCTAATGTTAAAAATATTTGAAGTTGAGTGATAAAATAATAAATAGCATCACACCACATTTGTACAGTGCTAGTTTTGTAATAATAATAATAACATAAATATGCCGCAATATTTCTCTTAAATATAAGACTACATAATAACATGGTTTTATTCGCAAAAAAATGTTACCTTGTTTTGTTATGCTTACTTGAAGCTACTAATTTCATAAAATAAATAATGTAAAATAAAGCAGCGAACAATTTTTTCGTAGTCACTGCAAGCTAAGTTAATTAAGAATGGTTCATTTGGGGATAATTTACACAAAATATCCGTACAGAGTACATTATTACATGCATAAAGAGAATACATTTTTGCGATAATGACAAAATTATGTTTTTTTTATTCTGAATAAATAAATATGATGCTATTCACTTTCGTGCTACACAGGGATCACACAGTAAGTAATTAAGTTATACTCAGCCAGTGAACTGCAATTTAAAACAATATCCATAATAATTAGCTTTATGAAATAGAACTGCTGGTATTTGTAATATAACACTGCAGCCGTTTCAACAAAGCTTAATTCAATTAGTTTCTAAATTAGAGTAATTACTTTCAGATATTTTGGTCGCAAGCGTTTGCAAGAAAACGAAGAACCATGGGTAGAAGGATCGAGTTTGCTTGTTGAAGCTGGGTATTCGTACTGGACGCTGGGCTACGTTTTAAGCTTGAACGGAGCAAAGAAACTTCTGAACGCTGACCCGTTGTCTAAACTGCTGCCGGTTGATGAGTATTTGCCTATATTATTTGATAAGCATCCACAGACCACTTGGAAAGGGTATTTTCCTCAGAGAAATTTAGTTGCTTTGTCAGCTGCACCTTTGCTTGTCTATCCGACTCATTATACAGGGGAACAAGGTTATATTAGTGATACAGAAGACTCGGTCCTTGCTAAGGAAAATATTCCTACCGCGAGGGATGATCTCTGATTATTATTATTTTGCATTTAAAGTTTCCTTTGAAAAAAATTGTTTGATGTTCCTACTAACGTACCTCACTATTTTTTCATTAGGTGATGTCTAATTTCGTTTTTATGTGCCATTATATGGATGCCATAAACACATTAATTTTTATGATAAGCTGTAAGTTGCTTATAAAAATGTGCCTTAACATTTTATGTCCAATTTTCTAATATTTAATAAAATAAATTCTCGAACGAAGTGTTTGTTATTTCGGATTGTTTGGTAATTAAAAACATAGAGCAGTTGTCTTAAAAATTTAAAAATAGGGACCAGTGAAATTATACAAGATTTTGACAGGTAAGTATGTTGTTTCGTTTAATATATGGTGTCTTAGCATTTTGGAAGACTCAATATGTCAACATAAACGTATTTACGAAGTTGCCAAAATTGTTGACGAAATGCGTCTCACGTACTTTCGGGGTCTCAGATTTGTGCTTCGTGTACCTATATGTGATCATGTAGGTAGTTCATTCTAAACATTGTATAATAGTTATATTTATTTATTAAGTGTATTGTAGGCTTGTGGGCCTCAATTGTTAGAAGTTCACAAGCAGCCCCTCATTATGTAAAATTAGTTTTCAGACAATACAAAAGCTTATTTTACTAATTAATCGTGTTGAGTTGTAAGTTTATTCATCTGAAGTATATACATTTATTCTGTGCATAAAATGTAAACGACGACGCCATACTTAATAATCACGCAGAAATACATTCTTAAAGTCTGGCATTAATCTTTAAATTGATTTTAATTAGAACTTTTGTTTTCGAAAATTTGCCTGTGACGTTATCAATAACAGCGAACGGGTAAACCCTGCTCCTGAAATTATAATAAGTGTTGTATCGATTGCGTTTGACAAATAAGCGTGGAAGAGTATGATGAGGATGAAATTAAAAAAGTGGAGTTGAAAAAACGTTTCGGGGATAATAGAAATTGGAGATTTTTCCTTGGAAATTTTTATTGAAGTTATAACGTTGTAATTCACTCTATGTACTACTTGGTGACTATTAATGAATGAAGCAAATTTTTGTGTTGGCAATTCTGAATTATTGGCAACCATGCTACTACACAGTTCACAGTAAGTTGTCAATCTCGACGCCTAACAAACGTGTTGATTGGTTGAGATGATGGCAGCTCTTAAAAATGTCACCTTGACAATGAGGTATGACATTATAAAGTTTTAAATAGGTTGCCAACCCGACAAAAAACACAAACATTAATAGTAATAGTACATCTTTGCATATATATAAATACGGCCTGAACAATTGACATTAGAAGTTCTGTATTTCTTAAAAAAATCACCACACACAGTGCAGTACGTTTGGATCTGACATCTGCCCTCAGTTCAATTATAACGTGTGTTCAGTGAGTTTCACGTCTCCGTCAACCGTGCGTCGGTGATTTAATGTCGGGTTCTATGGTCCTTATTAAATTAATTTAACATTTAAATTGGTTTTAAACTAATGAGTGTTAAATTAATTTGACATCAGACACAGAACACAATAAATGTTTAATGACGCCTCTTCGACTGCGAAAATGAAACTGTTGTGTTAAACAACTGTCATTTTTAAACAAATGGTTGTTACCTCTAGCAAAATGTATCCGTGAAATTTTACTTGTTTAATTAAATGGTGAAAATTATTTTCCAGCTAAACTAACTAACCGTAACTACCGATCAGTCCGATTACTTATCCGCGCATCACTTGAAAAATAACCTACTCTTCATGAAATCAGTTGTTTCTTCGTAGTTTGAGCAGTCTTATGAAGTTGATGTCTGTAAAAATCATTATGACGGCTTTGCTCTCTTTACAATGTCAGCGGTATAAACAAACACAGTAGCGGACCCACAACCGATCCCTGCGGCACCCCACTGAAGACTAAAACGGGAGAACTGGTTGAGTTGCCAATTTTCACTTGAAAGGGACGATTAGTAAGAAAGCAGTTAATCCAATTAAGAAGACTACCTTTAATGTCGCAATGAACAAGTTTGAGCAAAAAACGACGAATGGGAACTCGATTGAATAACTTGGAAAAAATTGGTGTAACGATGGCATTTTTTCAATCTGATCGAATTACGCCTGCGTCAAAGGAATGATTGAAGAGGATATTTGGAGCTTTGTCTAAAAAATTTGCACATCTTTTTAGTGGAATCCTTCTTATACTATCGAACCTGGACGTTTCCCGTCTTTCAGCTTACTCAGTTTCCGGAGAATATCTTCGGAGAAGGTTACTGTTGCAAGAGATTTGAACCAAGGCGGGGTGTTAATTGTCAACTTGTCAATTGTTCAGAGTAAGTCGTGAAAATTTTAGACAAATTGTCGGCAAACATATTGCCAACAGCCTGACAATGATCAAGAAGATGACCATTCTCATCCTTTATACGAGGTGTTCGTATGTATTTATAAAAAACTTTGGGAATTTTGTGATCGGGAATTAGTTGGTCGTACTTTGATCTAGCTTCTCTGATAATTGAGGATAGTTTGTTTGAAAAAACTTTTTACTGGTGTAACAACGTGAGAATTCTTATCATTATAAACATCATCCTGTAATCCATTTTAGAATGCAAACCAGTTGTCAGCTATGGAATACAACGGTTTGTGCAAGATTTTTATTTTTGGAATAGATGGGCATACAGGAGTCAACAATTTGCGAACTTTGATGGGTTTATCATTAATCTGAACAGTTGGATATCCTGACAAGATCTTTCTCAGTTAAATAAATGCACACTCGATTATTTGACATCCGTGCGAATAGGTTATTTTTCTGTGAGACTATATTATTCGTAGTCACCACGTGTTTGGTAAGTTTAAGTTTATGTATAGTCTCAACAAAACATAATGCCTTGATTTGTTTTAAGGAATTGGTTGTTCTCGCTCATGGTACTACCAAAGTGCTAGACTTACACTTTGTTCCAGTTGTGGACAAGTACCTTAAAATTCAGACCAATGTTAAATTGAGGCCATAATAAAAGAACGATTTATCACTCATTAGTAGGCAAAAAATGAAGTGATAACATCGTATAGTTCAAGGCTGGTGATCTTACAAATCCAATTTGCCTTTGCAAATATGTGGCACATCTCGGCGCAACGGAGGAAGACAAAAAAATGCTAATATGTTTTCAGAATTATAGGAAATTCCCATTACTAAATAATTTAACCAAAAATCGGACACAAGAAGGAGCAAAAATCACAGCCTTAAATTGTATTTCTGGTTGTTTATGAATCCTACTAGTGGTGAAAAGTCAAGTAAATATGTATGATGGTTTAATAGTTATTTATGTACCTAGGGAGTTACAAAGGTGATAATGCCTCCTGGGCAATATCAGCGAAAGAAAATTTTCTCAGAATTGGTTAACTCTATTGACAGCTCAAACAGTGATCACGATACACATATAATTGATATTTTGTTTCATGTAAATAATCATATTGTGTTGTAGGAGTAAAATAACAATAAAATTATGTAAAAATTAGAGGCTATTATGATTTACAACGCCCTGTCATAACACCCAGGTTGTTATGGCGTTATTTGTATTTTCCGTATCATATTATTGAATGAAATATAAACAATATTTTGTTATAAGTCGCATATTTATCTTGCATTTATGTCATGAGTAATTTGTTCCGTTAATTTTTATACTTTGTTTATTTTATATCATAAAAACAGTTAAACTGATTTCTTGCTGACTTAAAATAAATAGAATAAAATATTCTAATTCAACGTTACTCTTAGTTAAATCATTTTATAAAATATAAATCTCACAATTTGGTGGATGCGCCGGGTTTAAAATAACGCTTCGTGAAGTCATTCGAATATTTCCTCTTTTTCGATGTTTTCGAGAGGCGTAGAAATCTGTTGGCATAGTTTTTTGTGACGTGATTTTAAATCATACGTTTGTTGAAAATAATACAATAATAATACCACATAAAAAGTTAAAAGTCCAAAAAAACTCAGCGTTGCTTTGTAATATAGACCGTACAAAAGCTAAATCGAACTGTTCAAGTGTTTTTGTCAAATTTTATTGTTACTTTTTTAAATTCATTTCAAATTTTGTGGATACTACAATCTCGGCATGCAAAAAAGAATTTTTGTGAATAAAAACATATTACATAGTTCTTTATTTTATTGAGAATACTACATTAATCATTTGGGAAGGCAATACATCAAGTTTCAAGAAGAATACTAATTATTTTAACAGGTAACATTTTTATTATACGGTGGTATTATTTCGTTCTGTACAAAAACATTTTGATTACCGTAGGGGGAAAACCAACACGCAAATTTTGTTGTTAAAGTTTATGAACCTTTGTATTAATTATTGAGAAATAATTCATTAGATATCAAATATGTTTTTCTGTGGAATTTTATCTAGCTTAACTGGGTAAAATAGAACTGTAACCAGTCAAAGATATCATTTGCTAAAAGTATTTGAATACTAGTTGAACAATAATGCGCTTATCGGGTTTGAATGTCTTTATGCTTATTTTTTAAAGTGCTGTCTGCTACGATCTGACATGATGTTTTTATCTGTCAGTGTCTTTGTCAACAATAACTCAAAAATTTCACAAGTGATTGCTTGCACGTTTAACATTCTCACGCTATAGCCTTTTCCACCAAATTACACACTGCATAAACAGGAAAGATCGTCGATAGAGATAGGGAAAATATAAAATAAAATTATATTTACTCTATAAAGTAGGAAGGAATGTTAATGAAGCATCGCAGAGAATATGAGAGAGATTGAATGGATATTAATAGATTTAATATGTACATGCAGCGAGATCAAATTGTTGCTGATGCATTCTTGGAAAGCTGAGAATTATTATTTGTTTCGTATTTTGATCTACTTGATCGGGAAATGTACAAATAAGAAAATATTGCATAAAATAAAACAGAATAAAGGATATTCCAAGCTTCAGCTTACTGTATATATTTTTTTAAATAAAAAAAAAACTAAATGTGAAATTCATTTTAAATTATTTCAAACAAATTTTATTTGTGTTTTTAAAAATATATATGCGGCATTCTAAAGAAACATAGATTTGCATCATATTCGCGATGTGCTAAATTAGTTAATTTATTATTTATAAAAATAATGGCGTTTAGAGAATTGCAATATCTCTATTAGATATGTCTACATTTTTTCTTTAATAGTGCGATATGCTGGTAGACATTTTATAACTGGTATACTTAAAATTT